TTATTATACATCTGAATCGATCTAAGCTGGATATTTAACTACTAAGCAAGCAGTAATTAAAAAAAAAAACAGCAGTCTAGCTTTGTCACGCACGGGGCTTCTTTCCCTTCATTACTCAAATGTGTATCAGTCTCATCAAAATCCGTCCAGTAGTTTTTGCGTCAGAGTACAAGAAACACATTTATCTATCCCCAACATCAATATCTTCACATTTATAATATCAGTAAGATAAAATTTAAATTGCGATGGAAATAGTATTCTAAATTAATAAGCCTACCTAGCCTGCCTATAGTCATAGCCTGCATTCATTATTTTGCTTAAAATAATTGTCTACTACTTTTTCCACTACCTATCTAATTACAAAATCTTTCATAGTTATTTAAAAGACTCGTTCAAGTTATATTCATAATAGTTATTCAAGTTACCTTTTCATAATTTTAAAATCTATCATATTGCTCTTATTACGCCAATTCAACCCAGTTGGCCTAGGATGCGCGCCGCGATAAGCGTTTATCACGTCATTTTATCGACTTTACGCGATAAGCCCATACATTTGTCGTCTATAATCGATAAGATTTTATCACGGCGCGCATCCTAGCCCGTCAGTTCAGGCAACAACAAGAGCTGATCTCCCCTGCCCTTATGTGCATGTGGATTGAGTGATCCTTGCTTCAATCTTAACAAAAATCGAGGAAGTTTTACTTAAAATATGTTAAAACATTGCGATGAAGTTTAAAAATTTGTTAAACCTAAGATAAAAATGTTATGGCCAATAAATAGGAGCACTCATACCGCACGCTTTAAGAAAACGTCAACATGTTTATTTCAGAAAATAAAGCCTTTCCACTTCTTTTTATAGTATAGAAAAATTGTTAAGAATATGTTAAAACTATTAACAAATTCAGAAATTCCTTAGTCTCACAAAATAAAAAATCATATGTACCCTAATCAACATTTTCCTTTAGGAATCATCTAAGCCTGATATTTCTTAAATTATGACCTTAATAAAAGCAAAATATATGCCAAATAATTGTTAAAAACAATTAACAATTTTAGATACTATCTCAGTCTGCCTACGAACTACATATGAGCAGATAGAGGTAAAAGTAAGGATCACTCACACGGCATATTGGAGGAAAGAATAAAGGTTAATTTCTTCCTTCAGCTTTTAAGTTTTGTCACACTTATTCTTTAACAAATTCGCTCGTCAGTTTGCACACATTTCCCAACAGAAATAAAACGTATTTATTAATAAAAAGTCATTATTTTGAAGAGCACTCGTACGGCCCGTGTGCGGTGTGAGTGATCCTAAATAATCGTCATAACTTTGGAACGGGAAGTGTAAGGAATTTCTGAATTTGTTAATAGTTTTAACAAATTCTTAACAATTTTTCTATACTATAAAAAGAAGTGGAAAGGCTTTATTTTCTGAAATAAACATGTTGACGTTTTCTTAAAGCGTGCGGTATGAGTGCTCCTATTTATTGGCCATAACATTTTTATCTTAGGTTTAACAAATTTTTAAACTTCATCGCAATGTTTTAACATATTTTAAGTAAAACTTCCTCGATTTTTGTTAAGATTGAAGCAAGGATCACTCAATCCACATGGACATCTGCCCTTTTGTCCCTATGTCTGAGAGTCCTCCACCTGGACATGAGCTCCCCTGGCTTACCTGGAAGTCTTTAAATAGACTTCGTACGCAGGTTGGCCGTAGTAAGGACAATCTGGCCAGGTGGGGATTCTTGGATGGCTTGAACATGGAGTGCAGGTGCGGTTTTGTTCCCCAGTCGATGAGGCACCTGATGTCATGCCCTGAGTGCCCAAGCAACTGCACTCAGGAGGATTTGATGAGTGCTACTGACAACGCCACTCTTGTGGCGGAGTTTTGGGCTGACACTGTGTAGGTTTTGTTGTCGACACGAAAAGAAGAAGAAGTTCAGGCAACAATTTCAAATAAAAGACATAAATAAATCAAAATAAAGTTTATTGGCAGCTGTGCCTACGCGTCGGCGATGGTGACTTCCACCTCTACGCCGGGCTCGATATTGATGGACGTGATCTGCTTCACGATCTCAGACGGGGAGTGCAGGTCGATGACCCTCTTGTGGATCCTCATTTGGAACCTGTCCCAGGTCTTGGAACCCTCACCGCAAGGGGTTTTACGCGTGGTGATGCGGAGGATCTTTGTTGGCATGCGGACGGGTCCCTGGAATGAAGATGGAGCAGAATTAGTTTTGGCTAACTTGGTTCAATATAGGAACCCAAAAAGAAGTAAAAATAACATGTATAAAGTACGGCCAACGAGAAGCGATACAAAATGTAACCCTGGTACTTTATTCGTTGGATGTAGGATGTAGGCCCGGGGTATTGTGGGTCTGAAGTGAAATGTTTATAGACACACAAATTAAAACTTTTAGGTAGGTTTTGATTTATTTATAACAATTAAATTATTAAGTATTTTACAGTCTACTACTAGTTTTACAGTCGATGGTAGCACAGCACTATTTGTTGGTGGTGCAAGAGGGATTTAAAAATACCCTTTGCACCACCAGTGGTGCAGGCCGGTGGTGCAAAGGGTACACAAGGGTCATGTCTAGCACATAACTGAGCAGTGCCTGAGGTGTGTGGAGTGGCACAGGAGAGGAGTGATATATCACGTGACAGAGCATACAAGTCTGAAGTGCATCGGAAGTCTTGCTGACATTTGATGTCACCAAAACACCCTCTCGTACTACTCCGATACGTTAGGGACTGACTCAGTTAGTGTGCTAGACCTGTAGATTAACCACAGAGCATGTAATTCCATGCTCTGTGAGATTAAGGCCCAGAACAGATGGTGAAACGCAACTGCACCGAAACTGCAACTGCTAGTTACTTTTGAGTTGCATCTAAGTTTCTGCCATAGCGTCCATTGAGAGACCACACATGACGCGACCAGTTTGAAACTTTCAGTTTGAGTTTCATTCATCAGCATCATCACAAAGTTGCAGTTTCGTTGCAGTTGCGTTTCATCGTCTCTTCTGGGCCTAAGTTGTTGGCTTTATGAATTTGGTCTGTCTTTTGTTTAAATAATAAACAATACATAAACGACAGGGTTTAAATTGTAACTCTCCTATGAGCAGAGTCAGCAATGGAAGACAAACACTGCACTTTGAAGAGTATTGATGTTGCGCTGGTTTGTGAACACTATGGCACAGAACACATAGTGTCTTCATCTGGGCGCTATATGCCTAACTACAGAGTAGTATTAAGGCAGTAGTATACCTTTTAAGTCTTTGTATGAGGACATGTACAGATGACAAAACATCAAACATTGTTGCATCTTAGATAGTTGATACAAATACCATTTAGCACCAAAAACATCTGTCTGAAGTGTGGTCAACTGAAGGTTATTAGGTTTGGACTTTAACATGGAAAGTTCCTTCCTTTATCTCTATCAAAGATTAGTTAACTAATCCTCTAATACAAATGTTGAGTAACTCTAAGGTTATTTGTCATTAAACAGTAGTAATGAATAAGGAACTAATAGGTTCATATTTTTGTAATATTCACCTTAACACGCAGCTTCTGTTTCTTGGCTCCGTTGATGAGGTCAGCGCAGACCTTCTCGAGCGAGCGGACGTTGCGGGACGTGAGCGTGATACGGATGCGGTGGATGGGGGAGACTTCAGCCTGGGGCTTCTCGATGTCCTTGCCTGCTACGACGGCGGCTGCCTGGAATTACATAGTTATTATTTTATTTATTGTTAGCTATTGATAGAAGTATTGTAGACAGTCTTTGTGGCTATTAGACTAGTAGTTTGCGGTCAGAACTACAAAATATTGTGGTTTCAAGTTAGGTATGTGGTATTTATTACTAAGTTGTTATCATCTCTCTAGGATGGATACCATAGCGATTTGTTTAAGTCCAATGGTATTAAACACATTGAAAGTCCACTTAAGGGACACATTGATTGTTTATTGTGCATTAAAAGCGTAAAAAGCCTCCAGTTCACTTGATAAAGAAGGATTCGAGCTTAAAATGTATTAGAGGCGTACCACCAATAATACCTTTATGGTCAACAAAAGGCATGAGAATATAATATAATTAATGATTTTAATTAGACAATAACTATTGAAAGAGATGATAAATAGAAGTTTGCGGACCACACGTGTGCGAAGCTAACCTCAAAATTTCAATGAATCACAACTCAGCCAAAAACTTAATAAATGTCGAAATTCATATTTCTGTCGATAAAATTGGATTTACTTACCATGTTGATGCGATTTCCCGGTCGAGATAAACAACTTTTCGACTAAAAATTGCTCAGCGCTGAACCGGAGAACAGCTTGCTTGACAAATGTCACGAAAAGAAGAGAGAATTCATACCATAGACAAAAATAAACAAATTTTAATGAAAAAACTGAAGTTGTAATGTAATCACTAACGCCACCTACAACTCCTACAAGTTTAGGATTCCGTGGCGGGTAGCTGAACCGATAGGACGGAAAACATGGTCGATCTGTTTTAATTTATTATTTAATGGACTTTAGTAAACAAATCTGGTGTTATTTTATGTTCTAAAGTGCAGTGAAGTGATAAATTTATAAAAACATTGAAACACTTTGAATTGTAGCGCGAATCGAGTGTCAAGCGAGTTCACAGCGAGTTGTTGTGGGATCAAATCGCTTTGGACCCAACGCGATGGGCGTCTTGAAACCTGGCTACGTGAGTACTTTTTGTTTCCATTGAATACAAAAAAACAATAGAACTAAAACACCTATGTTCTTTTGTTCGTGTTAAACATCAATTTCCACGTGATATTGGCATAAATAAACGACTTGTCCACGAAGGCGAGCGAGCTCACTCACTCGCTTTCGTGATTTAAAGAAGTTATACTCGTAATAATATTATGCTATCTGAGCATTCGCTTCCACCTTCGGCCTGATCATCAGGTGAGATACAGGCCAAGAGCTTCCTCGTTGAATCAGTGTGAATAGTTAATAAAAATCACTTGAACGGTAGGTATCATTTAATAATATAAATTAAAGTACTAAAATTAAAATAAAACATTATTTTAACGACGGGGCCAGTAGTGTTGGTAAAGCATAGCTAGATTATCATTTATCACATATCACCCTCCATGTCCCCCAATGCATTCACATAATTCAGATAAAGTTGTTTAGATATTTCTGGCTTACTAATCATATAAATTATACAACGGGCAAAAATGATGTATGTAATTTAAATCAGACGTTGTTCAGCATTAAATTCTTCACTTGCTTGTCGAACTTCCTGAAAATAAAAGATGAATAAAATTAAAATTATCAATAAAGAATTAATTTTATCTCGGACAGCTTACATTCATAAAGAACACAAGTTTTAATAGGTCATTATTTTATAGGAAAGTGTTCTTTTATTAGTAGCAAATTGGTTTAGAAGCATACTTCATTTTACTATTTTTACTTACTGGGAAGAGATGGGGTCTCCTGGTAGATGGAAAGGATTACAAATGGCGTCGGCATACAACGCGTGCAGTCGTCGCAGTGCTGTGCGGACTTCTGCGTCGCGGATATTGCTGCCGCTGGGTGACGTAGAGCTCGTTACAAGCACCAGCTTGATGCGCGTGTTGGTCACATAGCCGTAACTGGAATGTTTTTAAAGCATAGGTATATTTTTTCGTAATAAAAGACTTAGCTGTCTAATGTTCTTTTTGGTCAATCATAGTAAGAGTAGGCGCACACTGTGGTGTCTTAAATAAAACACTGATATATGTTCACTGTGTAAGCTAGTGCAAGCACTGACGTCCGTCCCGTGTGGCGGCCCGACTACGACTGACCCCCCACCGCGCCGTACTAGTCAGTGTTGCCATAGCGCACACTCTTTATTTGTGTAGTAGTACACCACACACACCGTTGATTTTTTGGCCGATAGTTGTGCCCGATTTTAATTTGTATGAAGAATCGGACAAATCGAATCGGCGTAGTGTGCACACTCCCATTCATGCCCATACTGATCAACTGCCCGACTAAACTATCGGCCGACGAAAAATCAACGGTGTGCGCCTACTTTAAGTGGAACTGAAAGAGAAAGTTAGTGCCTGCTTAATTACAGTCATGTTAAAAATAGTTAACGTACATTTTATGCGTATCAGTAGAGTACAAAAGTCCCAAATACAGGTCTCTCATATCAGTGCGGGCTGCATTCGCGTTGGCGCCAGCAGCGCCATTGCTGCTGGTGGTAAGACGCTCCTCCAATGCATCAAGGGCGGTGTGGACCAACCATTGTCGTGATAGCTCGTTGTCTGACCCGGAATCATTGCCGATACCGCCTATGTATAACGGGGAGTTCTGGAAAAAATATCGACTTCATTACTAATTTCGTATTGTGTAGTAGAATGCCAAAAGCACCTAATCCTATGGACTTTTTTTAACTGCGTAGTCGGACTAGAGATGGGTAGTGGGTAAAAACCCATTTCACCCGATTGGGTTAAAACTGGGTGATTTGGGTAAGAACCCGGTTTTTACCCATTATCACCCATTCTGGTGGGTGAAAACAAAAATAGCGTTTTTTTTAAAGTGAGAAGTGGTATTTGTTGCTAAGGGGGCGTTCTAGTGTTACGTAATGCAATCAGGGGGGAGAGGATGTCTTGAAAAACGTTACAATGCGTTACAGTGGCGGAAGGGCGGTTCGACTTCAAGTTTTTAAGCAGAAGTACTTTGTAGTTGGTGTTGTTATTTGTAACTTTATACCGTAATGTCATCAAAGAGAGAGTTTGACATCTTTGGAATCCCCCCCCCCCCTCCATGTCCTTGCCATGATCACAAATTATTGTGTTCCTACTAAATTTCTTCTAAATCGGTTCAACGATTCTTGAAATAACACCATTTTATAAAATAATTGGTCACATCATCATAACGTGATCAATTTTACGATTTGGCCACGATATAAATGCATATTGTGTCCGACCGAATGTTCGGTTTCGGTTTCGTTTTCGGTTGAGTTTCGGTAAAAACACGAGTTTCGGTTTAGTTTCGTTTTCGGCGGCAAACTTGCCGAAACTACGACCGAAACCGAATATGCATTCGGGAGTTTCCGCGCTGTTATCGGTCATGTTCGGCGCGTTGAATGAGTGAATGAATCCGATCCCTCATTAAAAAAAAAATTCGAGTGATTTATTTTGAATTTGGTAAGTTTTATCTCGTTTTATGTCGTTATAACATAAGAGCAGGTAGTAAACATAAAAAAAAATATTCAATATGACTAATAAAAGTATAATCAAGTTTAATCTAACCTATACCTACCTTTTTTTTGGTTCGCAAATGCTATACGTAAACAAACATTAGTTAGGTAGTTAGTAATGACTATAGTGCATTTCATGGTGATAATATTATGGATTCAGAGTTTCAAAGTTCATTTAAGTATTTATCACCAAGGTATCCAAGTGGCAAGTACAGTAGATACTAACTTACGTACTACCAATTTTGTTTTGAGAAATTATTAAGGTAAAGACCCGACCATGGGAGGGGTTATGTAGATGTTGTCGTCCTGAATATTGCGAGTAATTAAAAAAAATCTAGACTATAAATCCTTCTTTTTCTTTTTTAATACATTATTTGATACCTTTTAGAGTAAAAAGGCGCTTTTGTTTGTTTCAGCCTTAAGACGTCCACTGCTGGACAAAGGCCTCCCCCAAGGATTTCCACGATGACCGATCCTGCGCCGCTCGCATCCAGGCACCTCCCGCGACCTTCACCAGATCGTCGGTCCACTAGTGGGAGGCCTGCCCACGCTACGTCTTCCGGCTACTGGTCGCCACTCAAGAACTTTCCTGCCCCAGCGGCCATCAGCTCTACGAGCTATGTGCCCCGCCCACTGTCATTTTATTTTAGCGATTCGAAAAGGCGCTTTATAAGTTCAATTTTAATGCAATTGAAAGAGAAAACAATAAAGACTGACTGATTATAATAACTTTTTCTTTATTTTTCCCTCAAAATATGAGCCTTGTAAGGAAGTTTCGGTTTCGGTTTCGGTTTCGGCCGAAATAGACACCGTTGCCGAAATTCGTTTTCGGTTTCGGTTTCGGTCGTAAAACTAGTTTCGGTCGGACACTGCATATTAGTGTTAAATTTGACTTATTACTTATTAATCAATAAACTTAAATGAGAAAAATTCAATAAAAATAAAGAAAAGATACCAATTGAAATAATTATAAAATTATTTGTTTTCACCCGGTGTAAACACCCACGGGTGGAATGAAACGGGTTTTTACCCTCATGTGGGTTTTTACCCGGGTGGAAACCCATCTCTAAGTCGGACTGACAAAGTGCTTTCTGTCTCGCTTGCAAACATTTAACAACATGAACATGGTTGGCTGGTAACTACTGTATTTGACATTTGAACTTCAATGTGTTGTTTGTTTTCTGTATTCAAATTTTACATAGGTGTGAGGATATGTTCGCCTCAACTTTCTTTGAGCGACCTATTTGTAACACTAGCGCCATCTATGTGTTACATTTTTCTGCATGCATGTTATTTTTTTATTACAACGTAATAAAAAGGTCTAATATTTCATTATTCACGTAGTGAAATATAATTTTATTTTAAAGTTTCTGAAAATCGTCCTAAAACTTATTTTTATAAGAAAGCCGATTTTAAAAAATTTTTTTACAAAATCTACACCGCCCCTTAAAATCGATCTTTCTCATTGGTGTCTGTCTATGGTGGTCTATGGTTCATGAATGACACCAAAACAAAGTGACGTGTAAAATTTACTGATTTTCCAAAAATAGATCAAGACTGTGTTTGAAAATGTTCTTAGAGGTGATTTTTGGTGAAATAAATAAGTTAAAATGTGTTTAGGTACTTAAAATGACTGAAAAACTTACATCTTTGCCAATAACTGCGACACAAACAGCCATCGTTGCTCTATGTTGACGGGAAGTAAATTGGTGCTGCCAACAGCTTACAACTAACATTACATACAAGGCGGGAAACTTTGAAAAACTTTATTGGCGTACATACGTGTGCATGACAATAATTTTATTGATTATTTAATACCATCGGACGCGGACGTCTGCGTGAAGTTGCATCATAGGTGATTTAGGGCAATGTGTTGATTGATCGATTTGTGGTCCAGAATCCAGATTTTAAAATGGCAGGTAACGATGAAGACATTCACCACTTTTACGAGACGAACGAACGCGGCGAGCGTGTCATGGTGCGCTCGACGGCTTCCGAGCAAGCTATTTACATACGTTTCGTAAATAGCGTGTCGCGCCCGGTAGACATCTGGTGGATCGATTTCCAAGGCCTCCGTCGTCATTATGTGCGGATGCAGCCACGCACATATTTCAACGTGGACACCTACGTCACTCATCCCTGGGAGTTCACCGATCCGACGACTAACGAGAACTACGTAATCCACAACAAGAGGTTCTTCAGAGCTCCCAGCTGCCTGGCGGGGGTGCAGCACCGGACCAACTGGTTTGTTTGCGTCCAGGTAAGGTCCCTACGGAAAACTGCTCTATTGTTTTTGGCTCAGCACTTAAAATGTCCTACGCGGGTGCCCGCCCTTGGCTTGCCCCGCGAGCTGTCCCGAGACTTAGAGGGCCTCATCTTAGCTATTCAGAACACACCGCCTCCGCCGCAGCGCTCCTGATATATGGTTTTGGATACAAATGGGCGGACGGCAGTACTTATTAGTTTTATATCTGTGGCGGGGGCCTTTCTGGTTTGTTTAGTCAGTAAGATATGGTTTGAATTATGTGCTTAAGATCATTTTGTGGATTGAGTTCATTTCTGATAGTAGCCTATCCAAAAGCGAAACTAAGTAACTGATATTATAAATATCTTTCTGTTCCTATCTTACTACTATTAACATTATAAATTACATTAAGTGCTGCCTTTTTAATTCGTGATTTAAACCAAAAATCAATAAGTTTAAGTCCTTTCTTTAAACAACATTTAATTAGTGTACATATTTTTTATCGAAGTCCCTTAAATTGTATAAATTAAGGGCGAACTATAATTTTAGCGTAATCTTAAGACACTTATGTCTTGACTTGTTGCAATATGCTCAATGTTATCTAGCGGATTATCTTCTGTGGTTAATTTGTAATTTAATGTTTTTTTTAATTTTATTTATTACTTCCCCATTTGCAGTAAGACCACAGGTAAGACATATTTTATTTCTAATTAATTGTTAAGTTAATAAATTAATGATTTAATTTCAAATGTGATAATGGCAAGATGGCTTGTTAATGCATAGAATGATTAATAACAGCTAAAATAAAATTGTAATTATTACAAAAACATTTCTAAAATGTACGTAAAACCAAAGGTTTTGCTTTTACCTATTTTGCTTCTCAATCTTAGGGGATTAAAAGGGTACCTTCGAATAAGTCCAAATTATGATGGAAAAACAATTGTTTTCCAATTTTGAAGCAAAGCAGAACCAATTTATGGTAGGTACCTAATCGAAAAAATTATCAAAGATAAGAATTTAATGACAAGCTTTAAGGGAGTAAACGCCTAAAAATGGGGCACTCCTAAAAACGAGCTTGGGAATGGATAATATTTGGAATTGTTTCGTATGTAAGGGGTAACATCTGAGACTGAATTGCTAAGGATATTTAGATAATCATCGTTTTGAGCGATACGTTACAAAATTGTTATGCATAATTGATAAAAGTTCTTGAAGTATTGACGTGCATGCACACTTCTATTAGTTCAGGTGCAAAACTTTGCGCCAGGAACTGGCAAAAATATCTTTTATTTTCTTTAAAAGTAAATCGACTGATTATGGACGTAAAATTTTTGAGAATAAGTCCATGATTATTTCAAGTTTTAGATAGATAGAACAAAAGGAAAGAAATAGGCCCAGAACACACGGTGAAACGCAACTGAAACGAAACTGTTTCGTTGCGTTTCACCGTGTGTTCTGGGCCATAATTAGGTGCACTAGAGATTGCACTAATTATTAGGCGGTGCTATGAAGCGATGTTTGTCTCTTCTCTTTGAATATTTGGATTTGGTGTGGAACTGACTTGTGAATCTTGTGATCAAGAAGATATCGAATCAAAATTTTTATAAAAATCTATTGTATATCCCATAAATGTTATTTAGACTTTGTGATGGATTAAGTTAATTAAAAATAAATTACATATAAATTAAAAATTACATACTGTCAACATACATTTAATTATGTACGATAGTTTTATTGTGACTCTTATAATTTAATCTGTGATGTAGGTACATAACTTTAGATGGAATGTACGAGTATACAATGTACTGTGCTAAGAAAAAGATGGTTGCATTTATATAATTATTTGTATTTTGTATAGTTATTTTATTTTTATAACTTGAAATCCAATTAAATGTTAAATTAATCTGTTAGGTAATGAATGTTGATTATTAATTATAATTAATTATACCAACAAAATTAGGTAATAAGCCAAATATAAACGCACTAGGCCTACACTTTTTCTACTACTAAATGTTTCCCAATTTCTACTTCACTAATTGACAATTAAATTCATATTTTGGTACCTAATTATTTCTAATATTACTTTGATAATATGATTTATTCTTGTTTTATGTGATTAATAGTTTATCCATATACCATACGAGTTTCTAACCTCTATCAATCTAGTGTTTGAGAAATCTAATTTTTTATTTAACTATTAATTATATTTAAAGATACAAACTATTTTTGACCTATCTACCTACCTTGTACCGACAGTCATTTAGTATTTAAGGAATTAACTCTAAGAATGCCATATTACTTTTTAGCTTTTGATGTTGTTTAAATATACAATTTTGATGGAATTAAAATATACATTGATGTCTATGAGTGTATTTGATTATTCTCCTTGTTGCTTTTGAGTTATAATTGTATTTTTTTTACTCTATTGGCAAGATATAATGTCTTTTAAAAGCAAGATTAATTAAAATGCAAGTGAAACAAAGTATAGGGTATAAAAAATAATTTATTGTAAAAAAACAATTAAGTATTTGAAATCACAATCACTTTAGGTATGGCAAGTCACTCGGCTGACTTCTTGTCTTTGTGTATGTGCGCTACTAGTGCCAGGGCGCCGCCCGGGATGAAGCGGACGAAATTGTCCGCAGTCAGCGGCCCGAGGGCATAGACACCTTTGGGGCCGTTTAGCAGCTCGTGCGTGCTCTTGTCTATGGCCACTGGGTTCGCTCTCCCATCGACAGGCTTCTTGGGATCGATACCGAAACCGATCCCGCTCGAATACGGGTTAGCCTGGCACTCGCAATTGTCCGGAATGATTTCTTCAGTCTTATCGCACGCGCATCTCGTCTTCTCCGGCCGTCTGTTGCAGTCTGACAGTTCACATTTTGTGTCTGTGTTCCCGTTTATCTCGGAATAATTCAAGTACCTAGATTTGCAGCTATTGATGCCTTGTTCCAATACGTTTTTGAAGTTCATCCAGTGGTTTTTGAGGAAGCATTCCTTGCGTTCGTCGTCCATTTTTTTCTTGACGTGTTTTTCTTGGAGGCAGTTGATGCAGTCGTCTTGTTGTATGCAGTTGAGGTTGAAGTTTGTTTGGAGGAAGAAGAGGTCTGGTTTGGATCCGATGAGGACCGCTATGAGAGAGACGGTGACCTCGGTCACGTGGTCTGTGGTCAGGTCGAGGAGGCGCACGCGCTTGAGGCCGTGTCCGCAGGCGGGGTCGGTGACCTCGGGCGTGACGTCGATGATCACGTGGTCCGGGAACGACTTGTAGTTGGGGTAGTTGCCTTTGGAGCCGTCGCACATCATTTTGTAGACCTGTAATAGATAATGTTTTAGTTAGCAATTGTTTAATCAAAATATAGCCTAGCTGGCTGGTAGGGTAGACGCCGCATAGGGGAAAAATGACGTGACGCCACTAGGTCTTACTTTTGATTTTGACCATAATATTATGTTAGCACTGGCAAGAATTTTTAATTAAATTGGAAAATGAAGAAGAATTGCAATTTAAGAAGAATTCCAATTGAAGAATTTCTTCAAAAATAAATTTTCCTGCATTTATTTCGGTCTGTCACACAAATATTAACTGCGCGTATGCGCAATAAATCTCACTTTTTCAACCTGGTATAAAAATTGTTCTTTGTTTTTCTCTGTGTGTCAAATTATCTCTATTATTTTTACTAGATCATCGTCTGGTTTTCCGTCTTCAGCCCGTGGTCGCCACTCGAGAACTTTTGTGACAACGCGCAACGGTCATCAGTTCTACTAGCTACATCGCCAGTTAAGTTCGGCAATACATGTAAAGCCTGGTCCGTAAGCACGTAGAATTTTGTCCAATGACCTGAAGCTACCCATCCTTATCCCTCGCGCGTAATTATATTGCTGTCGCGACTGTGCGACGGGCGCCCGCAGTGAGTGTGCGAGCGCGACAGCAACATAATTATGCGCGAGCGATAAGGATGGGTAGCTTGGGGTCATTGGACAAAATTCTACGTGCTCACGGACCAGGCTTTACACATCTCCATTGACGGCGCGATCATAGGCCAATGACAGGTCGCCCGGACTGTTATGGGTCGCGCTTTCCAAATTCGCGATCTGCACGCGTTGGTTTGGTTAAAGCTTTTAATTAACACGTGTTAAGTAGATAAGTAGGTAACTAAATTTTTACTTGGTTTTTCTGTCAAGTTGGTGGGCGGGGCTTGTTATTTGACACGTTTTGACAAGCAGTTTCATAGTAAATTAAAAGAGCTGGACGTTTGGAATTAAGTTAAAATTTAGTTACGATGCAATTTAATCACTTGAAATTAAGTTAAAATTTCGTTACCTACACGTGTAAACCATCCACTATAGCGACGTTTAGAGTAGGCGCACGCCGTTGATTTTTCGTCGGCCGATAGTTTAGTCGGGCAGTTGATCAGTATGGGAGTGCGCACACTACGCCGATTCGATTTGGCCGATTCTTCATACAATTTAAAAACGGACACAACTATCGGCCGACTAAAAATCAACGGTGTGCGCCTACTTTTAATTTCGAACTCCTCCTACCTATGTTATTCTAATTAATTTCGTTGCGGATCCAATGACAGTTTAACTTTCCCCCGGGACAAACTTGACCTTCATTGGTTGGGTTTTTATGGCGGATCCTGGCTACACAGGAGTTGCAGTGGTGGGAACGAGAGGTGGGAATAGTCCCGTTTAAATTGTATTATGGCTACTGACCTGGCAGTAGTCGGGATACTCCTGCGGGTCCAGCCTAGCCAACGCGGCGGGCGGCGCGCGGTGCACGTGCAGCGCCCGCACGCCGCGCGCGCGCGCCGCGCCCACCGCGTCCGCTGCGCTCGCGCCGGAACCCACCACTAGCGCTGTGTGCGTGCCGCCTGGAACAAGAAAATAAGATTTTTTTTAAAAAGATTAGGGGCCATCCATAAAGTACGTCACACGAATTTCATGATTTTTTGACCAATTTATTATTTAATGGACTTTAGTGTACAAATTTGGTGTTATTTTGTGTTCTAAAGTGCAGTGAAGTGATAAATTATAAAAAACATTGAAATACTTCGAATTTGAGCGCGCATCGAGTGTCGAGTGGGTTGTCGTATGAACAACCCGCTTTGGACCCGGTGGCGTCTCGAAACCTGCTTACGGGCATACTTAACTCCACGGAATCCATGAAAAATCAATAGAACTGAAACACCCACGTTCTATTGATAACTATGTCAATTTTCACTCGACATTGGCAGAAATAAACCTCCCAGAGAGGNCCCATAGATGTTTGGTTGCCATTAAAAAAAAAAAAAAAGATTGATCGTCTCGGGGGGGAAAGCATACAGTGGGATAGAAAGGGGGGGAGGAGAGTAAGTGGGGGCCAGCTTAGAGTAAGTAAGGGAGGCCATCTTAGAGGGAGAGGGAGGAGAGAAGGAATTCGTTTAGACTTACCGCAGTCTCCCAGCTCAGTAAGAGCCTGCTCTATATCCGCGAGCGCGTGCAAGGCATCAGTCGCGTGCGGTAATGAATTAGGGCACAAGTAACGAAAGGAGGGAGCAGCTTAGAGTGAGACGGGGTCGCCTTAGAGTGAGAGGGGGCAGCTTTGAGTGAGGGAAGGAGGGGCAGTCTAAGAGTGAGAGGGAGAGTAGTTTCGAGTGAAACGAGGGGGAGGGGAGGCAGCTCAAGTAAGAGGTCAGAGGGGGTACTTACCACAGTTTACTAGTTCACTGAGCGGGTGTAGCGCGTCTGTTCTCTCGCACACTCACTGCGGGCGCCCGTCGCACAGTCGCGACAGCAATAATAATTATGCGCGAGCGATAAGGATGGGTAGCTGGGGGTCATTGGACGAAATTCTACGTGCTCGAACAGTTTAGAGTGAGAGAGAAGGAGGGAATAGCTTAAAGTTAGACTCACCACAATCTCCCAGCTCAGTAAGAGCATGCTTAATATACGCGAGCGCGTGCAAGGCATCTGTGGCGTGGGGCAGGCTGTTGGGCCGCGCGCCGGCATGAGTAGCGAAAGGAGGATTAGAGTGAGAGGGAGAAAGGGAAAGCTTAAAGAGTGCGAAGGAAGGAGAGGGGAAGTAAGAAAGGGGCCGGGCAACTAAGTGAGACTGGCCCAGTTTAGAGTGAGAGGGGGCCTGCTTACAGTGACAGGGGGCCAGATTAGAGTGAAAGGAGGCCAGCTTAGAGTGAGAGGAGGCCAGCTTAGAGGTAGGGAGCCAGCTTAGAGTGAGAGGGGCCCAGATTAGAGTGAGAGGTGGGCAACTTGGAGTGAAAGGGGGCCAGCTTAGAGTGAGGGGGTCGGCTTAGAGGGGGCCAGCTTAGTGAGGGGNGGCCAGCTTAGAGTGAGGGGGTCGGCTTAGAGGGGGCCAGCTTAGTGAGGGGCCCAGATTAGAGAAAAAAGAGGCCAGCTTAGAGTGAGAGGGGGCCAGCTTAGAGGTAGGGAGCCAGCTCAGAGTGAGAGGGGGCCAGCGCTTAGGTAAAGGAACAGGGGCAGCTTGAATGTGAGGGGGGCCACCTTAGAGTGAGAGGAAGGTAGCTGGACTGTGAAAAGAAAGATTATGATTCGTTCAGGACTTACCGCAGTCTCCCAGCTCAGTAAGCGCCTGCTCTATATCAGCGAGCGCGTGTAGTGCATCTGTCGCATGTGGTAGTGAGTTAGGTCTGGCGCCGGCGCCGCACGCCACCACCACGCGCCGGCATAAGTAGCGGAAAGCACGGCCTTCACACACGTCGAAGCTGGAATAGATAGACAGAAAATCTTTAGTGTGCAATTAAAATAACAACTACAAAACGGGACTATTCTCACCTCTGTAACTCTTGTATAGCCAGGACCTACACCACTCAAGTAAAAACCAACCACTGAAGGTCGTTTGTCCCAGGAGAAAGTTAAACTATCATTGGACGCAACGAAATTAATCAGAAGAACATTGGAGGAGTTCGAAGTTTAGGTTCGACTTCCCTCCAGTGCAAAAAGGATGACAGGTGACAAAACAAAGGTTAAATTAAAACCTTTATGAAAAGATATGATGCACCACAGATAGTAAACATCAATTTTATTATGAAGTCCTACTTAGCTACCTAGAAGAGCCTCTCTGTACAAAATAACCATTATAAAACTAGTATGGTGGTATAGTCGCGACTGTGCGGCGACGGGCGCCCGCAGTGAGTGTGCGAGCGCGACAGCAACATAATTACGCGCGAGCGATAGGGATGGGTAGCTTGGGGTCATTGGACAAAATTCTACGTGCTTACGGACCGGGCTTTAGTAATATTGTACTCACCCCGAGACCCAGAAGCCGGCCTGCAGCGGGCACGACGCAACGCACCGCGGCGCAGCCACCCGGGGCGCGCGCGTCACGCTCGTCACCACCGCGCCGCTGCGGAAGTACCTCTGGAAACCACCAAACACTTTAAATATTTGTCGCAGACGGTCATGAGTACGGACACTAAAGTGAAACGCAAGTGCGCCACCTAGCGGCGAATCGGCGCAACACCGCTTTGGCGCGCTTCGACAGAGTCGTAACGGTCACGGCGGGATGGATCGAACTCACTTTTAGTGTTGCCGAACTATCGATAGTAAAACTATCGATAGTTTTCATTGGAAAAAGCCTTCTCCATCGATAGGCCTATCGATAGTATCGATACTGTCGATACTATCGATACTATCGATAGCTCAAAACGAGGCAATACTATTGAATATGTGCAATACTATCGATACTATCGATAGTATTGTTGCTCGTGAAGAATAAACTATCGATAGTATCGATACTATCGATAGTATTGTCGCTTTTGAATAAAAAGCTATCAATACTATCGATAGTATCGATACTATCGATTGTTCTAGACTATCGATAGTCTGTAAATTTGCAATAGTATTGGGTATGTTTAAATTCATTTTTATAATATTTCAAATGTTTTGCTTGACTTACCAACTAAACATATTATAACTAACAATAATAATCTCACTTGTATTTAAAACTACCTGCATTAGTTAAGTACGACAAATAAAATGTATTGCCAATTTTGGAAAAATATAATTTAATGTTATGGTTAACTATATGAAATAATTCAAGTATTCCATTAACCCTATTGTTGTGCCTATTGACTATTATACCCAAATATTGTAAACGATACTATTGTAAATTGCCAAACTATCGATAGTCTAGAACAATCGATAGTCTAAAACAATCGATAGTATCGATACTATCGATAGTATTGATAGCTTTTTATTCAAAAGCGACAATACTATCGATAGTATCGATACTATCGAGAGTTTATTCTTCACGAGCAACAATACTATCGATAGTATCGATAGTATTGCACATATTCAATAGTATTGCCTTGTTTTGAGCTATCGATAGTATCGATACTATCGACAGTATCGATACTCTCGATAGGCCAATCGATAGTCTTGCGATAGTTTGACTATCGATAGACTATCGATAGTCGACTATCGATCGGCAACACTACTCACTTTCGCTCCGGACGCCGACAAGAGAAGACATCGTCACGGAACTGTCCCACGTTTCACCTAGTGCCTATTTTATCGCTCGACGAAGTCTAGATTGTAATACTAAGAACTAAGTGCTGATTTTGAACTCTGACGATTATTAAAAGTGTTCGAACACAAGTCTCATTCTCATTGCACGATACCCTATTTCGCCCACAATATCTGAGGTTCGAATCCCTGACGAGCCGACATATTTATGTCGCAAATGCTTCATCCATTGAGGCTGGTTTTAGTGTCACGCGGACCGGCCGGTGCGGATCGCTCCGCACAGCCGATCTGTATGAACTGCTAGGGAGCGGAGCGATTCCTCCGGACCGTATTACTCTAAAACGCTCCCTAGAAGTTCATACAGATTGGCCGTGCGGAGCGGGTCCGCACCGGACGGTCCGCGTGACACTTAAAACCAGCCTTAAAAGGCTGTCAAAAGCATGGCCACAGCCGAAGGCCTGGTTTTCACTAATGCAGAGCGGAGAAGTGTTTTGAATAACCAATCAGATTTCGTTATTTCCACTTCGCTTTTGTGAAAACCGGTCAACGATGTGCAATATCAATTTCGTAGAGCTGCAAAACATTATTTAATTTAATTGGGGGAACGTGTGATCGTATTCCATTGTGTAATGGAGGCTAATGCCTCCAGTACTGACCTACAACTCTGATGATAGAATAGAACGCGCGAAAGTTATAGGGTGACGGACCCTGATGATGATGGAGCGTGTAGTACCTAGCCTACTGATCTAATAACTCTGATGATAGACACTTTTGTAGGTACGTACCTGTAGCCTACAAACTCGTACGTATCTCCTACAATAATCAGCCACAGCTCGAGCCCTCAGCCTCCCAGGCGCGGCGGCAGCCAACGGTGGTAGTGACAACCAGGCGCCGGGTGAAAGCGTCCGCACTCCAGGCGGGAAGGTATGCCACTTGTGATGGAAACTAGTGTAATGGAAACTATAGTAAATACCTACGCCGCCGCCGGGCGGGAACTGGTTGTGGAGTCTGTATTCGTAGTACTGACCTACTGCCCCAATCATACAAACTTTTGCTTGTTTGTCTATAGCGCCGGTAGTAATCAGCCACAGCGCTTGCGCACCCTAATAATGACGGAGGCTCTAGGACGTACCTGTAATCTGCAGACTTGTAGGTGTATCTACGCACGCGCACATAGCGTCAAAAGTAATCGGTGACGGCGCGTGCGCACCCTAATGATGATGGAGGTTCTAGTACAGGACCTGCAACCCTGCTGATGGAGATTAGTACGTACCTGTAGCCTACAAACTCGTACGTATCTCCTACAATAATCGGCCACAGCCCGCGCCCTCAGCCTCCCAGGCGCGGCGGCAGCTAACGGTGGTAGTGACAACCACGCGCCGGGTGAAAGCGTCCGCACTCCGGGCGGGAAGGTATGCCACGCGCCGCCGGGCGGGCCCCGCCCCAGCACTATGTGCGAGATCTGAAATAGATTTCGTGTCATTTAAAGTCAGTTTGACTTTCCGGCGGGAAAAACGTGACCTATAAGGTCAGCACACACAGAGGCGGGAAGAACAGGAAAGCGGTCGCGATCAGGGGCGATATTTTTGTTCTAGTTCGCGCTACCACCACTACCACCGGTTCACCGTTTCGCGCTAGGGCTAGGTCGCTATCAGATTGCTTTCCCGCCTCTATGTGCGCTAACTTTTACTGTTTGTCGGCCGTTAGTGTTTCATAACGGACTACGACAGGCGAGACATGATGAGATAAGATGAAGCATAAGGTAACGTAAACGTAAACAAAGTTTTACTTTGCTTTACATAATAAGTAATTGGATTGGGGATTCTTGGATGGCTCAAACTAGGAGTGCAAGTGTGGTTTTGTTCCCCAGTCGACGAAACACGTCATGGTGTTGTGCCCTGCGTGCCCAAACAACTACACGCAGGAAGATTTAATGAACTGACAACGCCACTCTTGTGGCGGAGTTTTGGGCTGACACTGTATGTTGTTGTCGACACGACAAGAAGAAGTAGAATTAATTCTTCTTACCTGTTTCTCAACGTCATATTTCCACTCGATCAGAGGGTCAGCTGGGATGCCCAGGTCAGCGCATGGCCTCAGAAGGTTGTCCATCTGAAACATGGTACATAATCATTTATTGACATCGCCGTTCCATTCAATTACTTGTTAGACATTGAGCATTCTATGTCAAGAACGCTGCGTGAATTGAATCGAAAAGTAATTTCATTGTTGAGTTGTAAAATTAGGAGTAAACATTGTTCTTACAAACAAAAACAAGTAAATTAGAGACGTCATCTTTTTTTTGGTATTTCTTCAGGGAAAGAGAGAGTTCGCTCATCAGCAGGCCACAAATTTGACGCAGTTCAAAGGATTTTGAACGTTTACTGTGGTTCACGAATCATTTGTCATTTTTACTTTTGCAAAATTACTCCCTAACTCACATGTTTATTTGACTTTAATCAATATAAAACTTCTTCGCTTTCAAAATTAGTTAAATTGGGATTAAATACATAATTCTTAATTTACTTGCATGATCTTTTAAATGTTCTCCATAGCATTCAGGGTCGACTTTGATCTTGGGAGAGTAGACATCTAGCAGAAGGAATAGATAATTAGGGAAAGAAAAGATGAAGTTAAAGGTCAGGTACGCGATAAGCCCATACATTTGTCGTCTAAATCGATAAGATTTTATCACGGCGCGTTCTAGCCCCAAAAATGTTAGAAGCTATTCTTATAGAGGTACTGAGTTATAGCAGTTATAGGCCGTATTTGAACTACTACAGTCACTGACACTAAAACAGTTCAAGGATGTATAAAAACGCGAACGATCCATTTTTTGTTTATAGTCAATTCAATAACCTTTGTTAGACGAAGGCCGAAGAAGCCGAAGTGCCACGCTTCACGAGTAGCAATGACTTTGTATGTATAACAATACCTTCATTTCAATAGTTTGGATGTTTAAAATATTGACGGCTTCTGACTTGGTGATTGTCGTACCTACTAGGTAAAAATCCTTTTTAATTTACCAGAGGCAAGTCCGTAAACGAACTAAAGTCGCTGACATAACCTGACGGATTTAGCAAGCTGAAGTGGCAATAGGCAGGGCAGGTACGCAGAACTGACAGTCGATGGGGCAGCAAAGTTCTGGAGTAGAGGGCATTTACCGAAAAACGCAGCGTGAGACGCCTACAAAAGGTGGACCAACGACCTCATGGAGGTAGCAGGAAGGCGCTGGATGCAGGCCGCTACCAATCGGGCGAGGAAATTATTGGGAGAGACAGGGGCCTATGTTCAGCAGTGGACGTCCTGTGGCTAAAATGATGATTATGAAATGGATGATTTGACCTACAATCTTACGCTAACTAGACTGGTTGGAGGCCCGATGTTCGCATATTTGTCCCTTAGTCGCTTTTTACAAACTCTCTAATCCACCAGAGGCAAATTGAGGATTTGGCATGTATTGTCAACGTGAAATTGTGAACTCTGTCAGTTTATAATATAACGCGTTAGATTGTAAACTAACAGTGGGTTAGGTTAGATTGTAATTTAACTACGTCAGATTATAATCTGACGGAATTCACAATTTTACGGTGACATATACACTCCCTTGGCCAGACGCGTTGGGGAGGAATAATATTCGCATAATATTTGGCCCATCCAAATGTACCAACATGATGCAATAAACATTTATGACTATGACTAAAGTCGCCTTTTTGCGACATCCACGGGAAGAGTGGCGGTTTCCTATTCTACTCTGCCAAGACCACACGGTCATGATATTATTTTTCCAATAAATTAAACCGGATCCACCAAACCTGATAGTGTGACCACTGACCAGGCTATGACCTATATTCCTCCGAGTAAATAAACATTGCATAATGAATATTCTACGGCGAGTCATTTGTTATGAATAAAAAACACATAATTAATGATAAACATTAATTAGTTAGTATGTAACTCGTAGTAACTGCAGATAGGAACGTATGTATTCTATCACAGTACCTAAGGTATACTGTATTGGTACCATTTTTTAAATTATTGTACAGTCAGCGTCAAATAACACTCAAAGTGGCCAAAAGTTGACAACACAACCTCATTCCAAGTCGTGCTGCGAACTTTTTGGATACTTGGGGTGTCACGAACTTTGTAGGTTCAAAGCTAAAAGAGCTCGATAAATAAAAAATTTAAAAAATGATGATTTTCAAAGACTAACTAGATTTTACTTCTTTTATTCGCTAAATGACGAAAAAATAATTCTTCTTTTGCCATTGTAATTTGTATTTCAAAAAAGTGCATGCGATTTCTGCAGACAGGAATTTTCAATTTAAAATCATCGAATATATTAATTAATAAAATAAAAATAAGAATAAGACCCACAGGTCATGTACCCGAAGTAAGTCACGCGCGGGCGCATAAATCACGAACACGGAGCGGACATTTTTACTTTTTATATTGTAATCTTATTGATCGAAAAAGTAGCGAGAGGTAGCTTTTCGGCAAAGCCGGACATAGGTACATAATTACTTATTTTTATTTATTTATTTATTAGGACAACCAACATACACTAAAAAATCTTTAGTACGTTTTTAAACATAATCTAAGTGCTAATCGATGTCATATTTTATGATAGTCATATTTAAAGAATTAACCTTGATTTGCCTTGATTCATATTTTTATGATATAAAGTCTATTTGATTAGTATAGAAAACTTGATTTTATACAACAGACAACTTTGAAAGGAAAGTTGTAAAAAATTAATTCTACTTAATAGGCAATGCCACGGGCTAAAGGTAAGTAGTTATTGATAATTGATAAATATTTATAACAACGCTAGCGCTACTTATAATATTGATCAACCGTTACAGTTTATTTTTCACAAGCTATTAAAATAATGTTAATTGGTTGGATTCTAGGAAGTGTCCATTGATTCATTTGACATTGGACTTTCAAAATTATTTATTTGTAAATAAATTAACATTACTACCGGTATCAATAAATTAATACAAAGCGAATACTTTCAAGTTAAAATTATAAACGGCAATTAAGAAATAAATTTAAAGAATGCAAGTTCCTTAACTTTTAAAATAAAACAATAGGAAAAATAATCTCATTATCTTGGATTATAAGGTTACCAGGCTTAAAAAACTAGATTCAATTTCAAGGATAAATAAAAAAAAATGTTTGCAAGTAGGCTTTTAAAAAGCACTTTTAGGCCTTTACTTTTATCGAGGCCTTAATTTTATTGGTTCAAAATATTTAGACCAATCACAGGACAGATTAAATCGTATTTTGGGCATATGCAAAAAGGGTCCTTTTTCAAATTGCTTGCAATAAGAGTCTAAAACTATTGAACCAAGGCGTTGCAATCATCAAAGGACATTCGTTTTTCCGCTTCCGCTACAGCTTTGTAAAGAACCAAAGCTTTATAGGAAACACTGTCGTGTGATAAAAAAATTAAGCAAAAAGTGAATGAAAAAAATATTGGATTTGGATTCGTGACCGGCAAAGTGGAATCAACAAAAAGTATTTTCGGATAAGATTTTTTTTTATAATCTTATTTGTTCTTAAAAGCTACTCGTATCAACACACGTTTGGTTTTATCTGCTGATAGGTACTACTTTAGTACTATTAAAATATATTTTAAAACAACCGCAAATAACTTCTTAAGCGAATTAAAACATAATGTGGTAATAAGTAAAAACGCTTATTTTTTGTTTGTGAGCTCTACATTTTTACATGCTTCAGTTAAAATCAGTACGTTTATGTAATGCAATTTGTGTTTAAGACAATTTAAATTATAAAGTGTATATGCTTGCATTTGCTACTCTATGATCATCATTGTCTTTTTAATTGAAATACAATCGATAAGTGACATTTTCGTAACAAGTCCCTCCAAGGCTTTCCCACGCCCTTTAAAGTTTTGCTGTGTCTTTCTGGCAACAGTATTATAACAGTATAAGTACAGTCAGCGTCATATAGTTCGTGACACCCAAAGTGGCCAAAAAGTCGACAACACAACCTTATTCGAATAGTAACAAAGACGTGTTGCGAATTTTTTAGCTACTTTGGGTGTCACGAACTACACTGGTCATCACAAAAATCAACCCTCCCGCGACAAGCACTTTCAAACGTATGCATTCGCACTTCCCACAAATGTTAGCACCATTGTATATGTTAATCGTTTATTAAGAAATTAAATGTGTTCTCTATAAGTTATGTCTATGGATATTTATTGGGCTTTCAAATAACACCAATATTGTTAGGGCACCATGATTGTGTCAGTAGAAACGAGGTTTCCTGTAAAACGTAGGTGGGCCGATTTTTGTGAGGACCAGTATATTTGACGCTGACTGTACCCACAATAGTAGTTTGTATAGCACTTATGTGTAGTTTTTCACACATTAGTACACACACTAGATCAACGAGGTGTCAAAAATCAGCAAATGAATGAATGAGTTGGCATGGCAACAGGTTATCGAACGCCACCGCGGCCCACGATAGCAAAATATGAATATACATTATATATAAGGCCGCGGTCTGTGGCGTACCGTACTGGTTAATGATTAAAAATATACGTGACTGTAAAATGACTGTAATAAGTGCATTCAGTACACAATTACACATGCCAAGGCCAAGTCTGAGTACGGGAGCATTGCTCACTTTCGTTCCCACCGCCAATAAAATCTCAACCATTCAAGGAACTTTTGATGAAATTAAAATGAATGAAAAGTAGCAAATATTTCCATGCCTAGTTTGGTGGTGGCCGAATTGTAGATCTTGGATATACTGGAGTTGCAGTAGTGGGAACGAGAGGTGGAATTTTACTTGTGTCATCACTAATTAGCCAGTACTTATACGTGTAACGTCTTCCATAAGGTCTGTCGCTCCTTAGGATAATCTTACGTCCAATAGTGGAAACTTCTAGTAGACTTCTTCCTCAAATTTCTGGCGCTCCTTGGGAAGACTATTGCCCAGCAATGGATTGCAATTGACTTAAATGATGTTTCGTTTGCTATATTCACTCGGACTAGAGATGGGTTATACTAGGTAAATTTGATACTAGGTGCACCTATTCCAAGTATTTATTAATACGTGATCCAAATACCTGTTCCACTTAGTACGTAGTAATTTACCATACTTGACGCGACTAGTGCGGAGTGCGGACTAATCCACGTATTATGACTTTAAAATACAATTTTCTTTGAAAAGATACAACCGTAGTATTAATAATGCAATTTGAAATTGAATAACTTGTAGAATAGAATGTTTCTTCTATAAAAAATAAACACTTCAAAAATCGGACGTGTGACGGCTCATGTCAAACTGAGAGTGTTCCATTTCAACATTTTTTCACATCGCTCACAAAACGCTTACAGATTAAAGAAATATCACAGATATCGCTAAATTTATCAACGTTGATGTCAAAAATAGCAAATCTCCATACATGTAAAGGAACACGCCCAAATTGACAAAGAAACACAGACAAAAAATCTTGGTGACAAAACTCCCCATGGGTCATCTACTACCAAAAATTTCTGGGAACTTTTGTCACCACCGGTATTTTAGCGGGTAACTTCTCAGAAACAGGAGTTAAATTCTATCTAATCAACACTCGAAAACTATTCCAATTTAATCTAATTATCAAATTACTATTTCAATACAAATTATGCAATTATCACGGACGCGTGACAACAAACCAAAACAAACCTGTCGGAAGAATAAAAACTGGTTTTTTACCGGCTAGTCAACAAGGAGTGAGCTGGATGAGAGAGAACAAAAATTAAAATATTCAAAACCTTACCTGTGTACAAATAGAGTTTAAATTACGTAATACATCAAACACCTATTCCTATCTCACACCTGCCTGCGCTCAAATTTGTTTGTCAGACAGAGACGGAGTGAATCTCTACGTTCGCACATAAGCTTAGCGAGAAATACGCGGTGCACGTAATACACGACTACGGATTATGCAATAATAACCTCTATTACTTTGATGGTAGGGTCGGAAATCGTGTAATTTAAAAAATACTTAGCGAGAAATACGCGGTGCGTGTAATACACGACTACGTATTATGCAATAATAACCTCTATTACTTTGATGGTAGGGTCGGAAATCGTGTAATTTAAAAAATACTAAGTGGATCAAGTATTTTAAAAATTGGAATAGGTGCCACTTAGTACTGTAAAATACCTAGTGTGTGGACCTGTTCTAGTAAATACGTCTCATCTCTAACTCGGACTGCTCTTTGAGCTATAACCACTAGTATTTAATTAGCTATAGCTATAGCGACTAGTGTACTCAAGACAGCACATAGCACGTATTCAATAATCAACACACCGCCTCTTCATTTAATCGTGTTTACAAGACGTGGTAATTTACGTCTACCACCTTACAATGACTACTCGACAACGCTTCCTGACTTGAGGAATGCGTAGACGCACGTGGATTGTTGACACCACGGTGGATGACACGTGAAGTATACACTAACAGATAATTAAGTTTTACGAATTCTTTCCTCAGTATTTATGTCTGTAATGTTTCAGGGCACTTACATGTCCGTAATATATGTAGCTTGCTCTACCACCACTTCATGATAATTATGTATGTTATATTATTAATAGCAAATAACAATTTGCTTAATTCAAACTACCAATCAAATGATTACTTCGCGACCTACAAATCATACAAAACTTTTTCACCTTGGTTGTAGGAACCAATTCTCGTGGCAATATTTTTGAACATATTTTAAACACGATAAAGATTAATTTACTGGGGGGCACTCAAAAAAACTTACCAGAGGTTAACGGGTGTGTCAAGTTGCTAGTTTGTTGCTAAGCGATTAGTGTTTTAATTAATGGCAATGAGGCGAGGCAGATAATGTAATATAATCGACACCATTAACTTTGCGAAATTGTACCTAACAATTCATTTTAAAATAAAATAGAGGCCTAAATTACCTACCATAAGTTTTTACTGCAAGTCCGTAACAACTAACAATTATTATTATTTTAATTTCATCAAAAATTAAACCTACCTATTGGCTTCATTTAGTTGAAATACTTGAACTTTAACTGTATACAATTAATTACTTCATTGTAAGTAGTTAAATTTACACAAATCATTACATGACTAAACAATTACCGACCCTATTTGCGTAAGCAATCAATCCGCTTCATAGTTTATTTATTTACCTAACTCAATGGTTTTCCTTCTTAGGCAAAGTGTATAATCATATGCCTATTATTTCATTCAATATTAATTTATCATCATCATTTCAGCCTCAGGACGTCCACTGCTGAAAACAGGCCTTCCCTAACGATTTCCAGGTAAGTCGGTTGGTAGCGGCCTGCATCCAGCGCCTTCCTGAAACCTTTATGAGGTCATCTGTCTACCTTGTGCATGGAAGTTCCACGGCACGTGACCTCCACTCCAGAACCTTCCTGCTCCATCAGTCGTCAGTTCTGGGTGTGCCCTGCCCATTGCCACTTCGGCTTGCTAATCCGTCGGGCTATGTCAGCGACTTTAATTCGTTTACGCTCATTTCTGATTCGATCTCGTAAAGAAACAGAGCTGGTTGACCCATCGGCATCCATTTTACTGGCGGTCAAGCTGTAGATCCTGGCTACACAGGAGTTGCAGCGGTGGGAACGAGAGATGGGAATAGTCTTTTGACCAATATTTTAGTATCAAAGAGACTCACCAGTAAAGGGATGGGGTTCTGGCTTCTTCCCTCCAGACCTTCGGCCAGCTCCAGTAAGTCTGTTTCGTATAAATTCTGTCCTTCTGGCAGGTTTGATAATCTGAAATACACAGAGATTATTGAAATGGTATACCTTTCTAAGAATCAGAGGGACAAATGTGCAGGTCACTTGTGCAGGACCGGTTGTTGTGGTTTTTGGGAGACCTATATCCTGCAGCGGACTTTCTTGGTTGTAACGAAATACTGAATACATTTTTTCTTTCGTTCGTTAGATTCAGCCAAATGACGTCCACTGCTGGACAAAGGTCTCCCCCAAAGATTTCTACAACAACCGGTCCTGCGCTGCCCGAATCCAGGTGCTTCCCGCAAATATTATTCTATTCTAAATGCCGTCTCCCGCCACAAACGGGCAATTGTGGAAATCATTGGGGGAGGCCTATGTTCAGCAGTGGACGTCCTATGGCTGAAATTCTAAATACTTGCAAGTTACCTGGCTCTGAGCATGTCGTCAATGGGCAGGTCTTCTGGCACTCTCTTCAGGTAGGGCACGTTTCCTGCCAGCATGAATGACGTCACCATCCCGCTGGGGCCGTTGCCTGAGGATTTTATACAGCTGTTATTGATTGCCAATGGAAAAGACTAAAGCCTGGTCTCTGAGCACGTAGAATGTTGTCCAATGACCCCAAGCTACCCATCCTTATCGCTCGCGCGTAATTATATTGCTGTCGCGACTGTGCGACGGGCGCCCGCAGTAAAGTGCGAGCGCGACAGCGACATAATTCCGGGCGAGCGATAAGAATGAATAGCTTGGGGTCATTGGACAAAATTCTACGTGCTCAGAGACCAGACTATAGTCGCCTTCCATCATTCATCATCACAGAGGCCGCTTTAGGGAGCGCTACGTTTAGCTTTAGGATTACACTACACATGCTCTAATAGGTCATTCTATTACGCGTACAAAATAAATCCGTACCAAATAGTTCTCTGTCTATACCAAAATTCAGGCTACCTTTAATCGCGAAAAAAATTGTACCAACAATTAAGGATGAAAAGTAATAAAACTATGTTTTGGATGGAGGAAACCAAAAAATGAATGTATCTATAAAAGCGAATGGTCACTGATTGACTGACTCACTAACTCATCACGAAATCTCAGAAACTACAAGTGCTACGAGTCTCAAATTTTGCATGGGGGTTCCTTTTAGATGGTAGGTGCTCACTAAGAACGGATTTTAAGAAACTAAAGGGGTAAAACGGGGTCCACGAATACGAAGTCGCGGGCGGCTAGCGGCCGCTCGCGTCTTCGTATTCTCTTTAAATCCATTTTAGACGATAAAACTACGCATTTGTCGTCAAAAATGAATAAGAATAAGAAATTTATTCATAATGTTCATTACATGTCCAATTTGATATAATGTTACGGAAGATTATATCCTGCAGATACCCCCAGCTGATCCTTATTTTCGTGAGATCTCAAATGGATCATCAAGATAATGACACCGTCTCAAGTTCCAGATCGTTCCGCAACAATTGCTTTGACCCGGCCAATTACGCGAGTCAACTGTCGCGATCCGGTGGACAGACGGACACGATTGATATCTATCCCGTGTCTGGCGCGTGTTAATCAGGACACTACAGAAATTTGTGTGTGCTGAGAAGAAGCAGCGCAACTTAGCACAAGAAACTCAGTCACTATTGTATAGTTCACAAATGTTAAAAAGACAAAAAAATATTACCAGTAATAGTAAAAACAGTTTAAAAGTATGTACAAAACATGAATGAATCTATCGAAGACCAAACAATAGCAAATACACGAATAGTAGTAAACATTGATTGTGTAATACTGCAACACTGATAAAAATAATTAGCTATGAAAATATTACGTTACCGCGCGAGCAGAGGTTTTTACTCTTTGAATATCGTATCGCGCCTTAGATGGGTCCTGTATTAAATTTTTTTGGGGGCCCCATCTAAAAAAGTAATTACGTCAAGGGGTCCTTTTCATCTAAAAAATTACATTTCAAAATTATAGAACTTTCCTAGCCAGTTGTCTAATCCAAAAACCCCGGCACTGGGCCCTGTATTCTGGGGCCCCGTATTATTGATACGGCTGATACGGCGGTAGCTACTCCCCTGCTTTCAATGAATTGTAATACCTATAACTAAGACAATAAATGATTTATTGATTGATTGATTGAAAACGAGTCTCTTATAAAAAGAAAAGAACTATTTCTTCTCACAGCACCAACCGATATTGTTGTCTCAAAGTGGTAGAGCAAGCTATATTTAGGCGGTGCTTATAAGCCCTGTAAAGGACCTACATAAAGAAGGATAAAGAAATGAGGGTTTTCGCGTATGAAAGATCCGCTAGATGGCGGGACGTGGATGTGGGGTCTGACTGCTGCGTGATTGGTGGATTTTGACATATCTGTCAATGTCATGTCAAAAATAACCAATCATGCAGCATTTGGACCTCGCGTCTACGTATTGCTATCTGGCGGAATTTTCATACGCGAAAACCCTCATTGAATATCACCAGTGGCCGCTGGTATAAAATTATATTTTTGAAATGATTTTTTTTACAAGGAATTATCGGAAAAGGAGAAGATCCACAATGTATGGACCAAAAACCTATCAGTAGTTTTATTATAACGCCCATATTTTTAACCCACCGAAACCTTTTTGTAAGGAATTACCGAAAATGAGAAAGTCCATAATCTATGAAACCCTGAATCAATTCGGACTTACGTATCAGTAGTTTCATTATAGCACACATTAAAGCCAGCGAAAGCTCAATTTGGAAAAACCTTGTGTTCTATGATCTCACTATCAGAGTTAGGTCATCAACTAACCACAGGGTTATTAAATCAAGAAGAAATGACACGTTAAAACAAATGAAATTGACTTTTTCTTGAACAATGACCAATTTTCGTAAATCTTCTTTTGTTTTGTGAGATTGATATTGGGTCATACAGTCAATTGTTGAATATTATGGAAGTTTTTGATGAATGAATGTATTGAACATGACACCGTCGATTGATTGATAATGTTTTTGATTGTTTAATAAAAACAAAAGCCGTGACCGCCATTTTGTACACGTGGAGATTGTGTTCCATTTGTCGCCTTAGCCAAATATGGCCTCTCTATTTTTTTATCTATTATTGTTACATACAGATTACAGCCTCTAGCAAACACTTTATTGGTCTGGATTAGCACGATATACATACTTATTATTCCCTTTTTTTCAGTTTATAAAAATACCAAAAGCACAGAAAATTCAACTGGGACTGCAACAATTTTCAATTATTTGATTTGAAACCAATAAATAGCTTGTCAAAATTGTTTTAGTGAAAAAATGACGTCACATCTTCAATTTATTATACGAAATGTAGCAGTAGTATTTTTAAACTTCATAAAAAGTACTAGGTATGTCAATTGAAATATTTTTTAAAACTTAATTCAATTTTATCAATTGGTGTTTTGCCAGAAGAGGAAAAAATTTAAAAACCTCGGGTCCAGTCCAGTAGTAATCTTATCGGGTATCCAAAAGTATCGGGTCGGGTAGTCTTAGTTGTCAAATATACTTTTTTTTAAATTAAGAGCGTTTACGCCGTTTGGCGCAAAAACAGTACTTTTTCAACTCGTTACAATCATTAACCAGTAATACTACAAATATGTTATAGGCATAAATAGTTAGACAATTTCGTCGTCTAAATAGTTAATTGAGAAAATATTGCGATTAGTTTAGCATTTAAGAATTCTATCCAGATAAGTCCACACAGGTTTTGTAAATTTCCACTTTAGCGTCAGTTTACAAGCTGAAATTTTTATAAAAACACTGTGAAAACGATTTAACAAACATATATATCCTATAGCATAGATCCTTGGGCAAATAGTTATCTGAGAAAATTTTTAGATTTAAGCATTTTACACTAAGAAATCACAAATTAAAAGAACGTGAAATACCCAAAAATCAAAGTGATTTTTTCACCAATATTCTTCCTTTATTCAACACAAAAATAGCTTAATATAATAGAAGAATATCTTATCTAAAATATTTACTTTGAAATTTTAAATAATTCATTGTAATTTTTTTTCTATGAGTATTTGAAAACTACTATAAATCGCCGCGCACGAATCGTTCAAATTCAGTCCGCCTCGAGGCGTTCTAGAGTGAGGTCACGTCGCTCGGTGCTCTGCTGACATGTGTCATGCGTACGTTGATCTTTGACAGGTAGCTGAACTTTTATAGTGTATCCGAAAAATCTNGATATTATAACAATAAAGTTACCTGCGTTTATAAAAGAAGGGGAGCGGTAAATACCTAGTATTGTATAATTTAAGATTTGTAATTCGATTCCGGTAGCATTTGCAAGTTTTAGCTCCTTGAATTTTACTGATAGACTATTTTTAGTGTAAGCGACTACCCCGTCACTTTGGTTATTATTATGATGTTTTGTTTGGAAGGATTTGTAATGTTCTAATTGCGGTATATTTTTGTTAGGGTTTAGCCAACATTCCGTTAAAATTAAAATATCGAATTCATATTTCAGTTGTGCCAATGTAAGCTGTAAGTCATTAAAATTTTTGTATATACTTCTAATATTTTGTGTTAAAACTATGAAATTATGTGTAGAATTGTCAGAATTTATTTTTAAATCCTGTATATTACATTTGAGTGATTCTGAGAGCTGTATCCAGTGCCGTATTATCCATAAGGCACTTTAGGCCAGTGCCTAGGGGCCCACTATGACCAGGGGCCCAGCACTCCTAATTAAAAAATGAAAAAAAAACATATGTTTAAAGAAAGATGATGTTTAAGAAAAGGTCAATTTTCAAGAAGTTTTAAACGATTTTGTATCCAAAAAAATTAGAAGGGTAAATATTTAAACATGCATCTTAATCAGTACAATATGTACATTTTTATTTTTTAGTATTTACTTATGTTAGTTTTTATAAAAATATGCAAGATTTTCCTATTCTTTATTTCATTTTTAAATGACTCCAATACTTCGTCCTGTAGATTGTGGCGAAAGTCTTTTCACTTGAAGGAAGACGTATACCTTTGCGATAAATTGATGGCACCTTCATTCAATTTCGTAATGTAGACAGTAAAAATTTCCAAATTGCATTGTCGTGGTATGAAAAAGGGGGGGCCCGAAACGAGCTGTGCCTAGGGGCCCCGAGATGGTTAATCCGGCCCTGGCTGTATCTGATCGAGTTCTTTAAGCGTATCAAAGCTATCCATTTAAAATTAAATTATTACTCTTGAGGTTACAACTGGGGTAGTTAGGTTGTGCAGTTAGCGGCAGGTTAGGTAGTGGAGAGTATAAAAGTGTGGGTGTGAATGTGGTATAAAATTGTCTAGATGATTGAGTAAATGGTGTATAGAGTGATAGGTATCTGTAATAAATGTAGTATAAGAGTTCGTTTCCATAATAAGTGTTGGTGGTGTAAATATATGTAGGTAAATGTAAGCCTTGTTTGTGTTTTGAATAATTGTTTTGAGAGTGAGTGTGTAGTTTGAGTGAGGTATAGAATGTGCTACTGTTATTGTGCAATAGGAGTGTGTATGTATGTGTTTGAATATGTGTAAACGTTTGTGAGTGTTTTGTTACATTGTATGTATTTAACATATTATTATACACTAATAATTTTACCAAACAGTTAAAAAACAATATTTTATAAGTGAAAAATATTTTTATGAGAAATATGCACATAGATAGTCATTTTTCTTGCATTAGTTGTTGCACTTGTGCTTCATGTTGAATGTGAATAATTTTTGACGTGTCATCTTTCCTTACAAGTACTTTACCCATGGAGGTCCAGCAGTACTTGACCTTTTGAGCTCTTTTCAGATCCCGCGCCAAGAAAAACAAACGAGCCCCTTTGGAGGTAAGATGCTCAGTTATGAAGATAGGTGTGTCTTCGTTGCTAGTGAAGCCTAGATGTTTAGCTTGCAGTCGTGTTTTGTTTTTGAGATTGAAGTCTTTCACCTTTTTCAGTAGGTCAAATCGCAGAATTGCAGACCTTAGTTCTAGGATGATTGTGGGTTTCCTCTCCCCATTACCCCTTGAGTTCAAGCGGTGTATGTCATTTATATCATGCTCATTCATATCAAGATGGATTGATTTTGAGAGGTTCACAACCATTTGTTTCAAGTCTTCTCTAGTTTCCAGGGCTTTTTTGGGGACGTTTTTGATTTCCACGCAGGTCTTACGGGCGGTTCTGTGAAGATCTTCAACTTTTTCTTCCAATATGCAGATGTATTCGCGGTCCTTTTGAGCTTGATTTTCCAGGAGTGCAATTTTGCCACGGTACTCCTCATTTTGTGACGTTAACAGTGACATAGCCGCGTCAATTTTTGCATTTGACTCAGTTAACTCGTGTAGCTTGTTGGTTATGGACGTAAGTTCCTTACTCTGTGCACTGATGAGCGACCTTATGTAATCCTTTATCTCGTCCTTAAAAAGAGAAAGCTCGCTGGGTGACTCACTGGGTCGCTCGCTAGGGGAGTCTTCCAATTTCTGCTGTTTATTTCGTTGAGTAATATTGTCATCGAGCGTGAGAAATCCTCCACTAGTATTTGTTGTTCGATTTGGAGGGGTCTGAAGAATACTGTGTCATGTGAGGTCGATTTTCTGCTAGCGGTGATTGTGAAGGAGGCGTCCTTTGCAGAGACATTTTAATGTATTATCAGGAACAAGCAGCTGATTGTGGTACGTAGCACAGTGTTTACTCTCAGCGAGCTGGTTTCGTAGTAACTTCGTAGTCTGCGTAGTCACTGAGCACGGTGGGGATCGTAGATGGAGTGCTACGGCTGGCGTTCTTTAAGGTGGGAGTGTGTGCGGTAGAACTTGTATAGCACTGTCACTTTCACTCGCGCTGGAATGTGGTCCCGCTCATCGCCAATGAATAGATGAATCACACAGTGTCGACAGTGTCGATAACGTTCGCAAGAAACTATGCGGAATGGATTATTTTAAATGGACCTTATGTTTATGGTTTTAACTGTCACAATTGCGTACACAAGTTTATTTTTTACGAAAAATAAATTGGTAACACGTCTACTCGTGACAAGATCGCGGACGAAAGAACAAGTATCCTATACCAGGNAAGCATCTCGGTGAAGGTCGTTGTATAGCGGGATCTTAGACTAAGTACGGGAGGAGATGAAAGAGCCACCACAGACGAAGCTCCTGATCAGGAGACCGTTGCTAATGCCACCATGTGGGGGTGGGCAACGTTAATAAAACAACAGAAGGCTGCTACGGCCGATATAATTATCATACCTGCTCAGAGAGCCGAAGCTGAAGACAGCAGCGATGCAGTGGGCAGCGGTCAGAACAGTGCGGGAGGAGATGAGAGAGCCACCGCAAACGAAGCTCCTGATCAGGAGACCGTTGCTCATGGCCACCATGTGTGGGCCCAACGTTAATAAAACAACAGAAGGTTGCTACGGCCCTAAAACGTACCTGCTCAGAGAGCCGAAGCTGAAGACAGCAGCGATGCAGTGGGCAGCGGTCAGAACAGTACGGGAGGAGATGAGAGAGCCACCGCAAACGAAGCTCCTGATCAGGAGACCGTTGCTCATGGCCACCATGTGAGGGTGGGCGCCGATGGCTGCCACCGTCCCGCCGACGATGCGGGAATCTGGGTTGGCATGCTCGAAGAACTGGGACAGGTCATCCGACGCGGGCTTGGGGATAGCTGGAAATATAATGATAATTTAAGACTTTTATTTTACTACTCTCCGGCAGAAAAGACAATGCCGGAAATTGGCGTCTTTTTTTTTTCGCGCGGCCATCGACCAAACTTTGTTTTTTGATTACAAAATAGTGTAATAAATCAAACTTACTATGACATGTATACCTCTAAACTCAGTCTGAACTGAGTTACGAGCATTAGAAGTTTGATGATTTTCATACTAGATTTGCTTTTTGCGCGCAAAGTTTTGTAAGAAATTGCAACAAACTAGTGAGATTGTATGTGTAAACAAACAATACCATCCTTAAAGGCTCCAGACATCAGTATGGAGCAGAATCAGTGCAATAAAAAAATAGCGCAATATTTTGTTGCAATTTCTTACAAAACTTGCGCACAAAAAGCAAATCTAGTATGAAAATCATCAAACTTCTAATGCTCGTAACTCAGTTCAGACTGAGTTTAGAGGTATACATGCCATAGTAAGTTTGGTTTATTACACTATTTTGTAATCAAAAAACAAAGTTTGATCGATGGCCGCGCGAAAAAAAAAAGACGCCACTTTCCATACAAAATCTGGCATTGCCATTTGTCGAGTCAATTAAGGATAAGGATCATAAAGATTTTTCGAAAGATGAAAGGAGTTATTGTAAACTCGTATGCACAGATACTTACTGATGTTTAAGATAAGAAAGTACTTCGTGCAGTTTCTCGATACTGTATTGATTTATTAAATTAGATGATATAAGTAGGTATACGAGGGATACGGGAATTGAATTAGAATTCCTCTAGTCTAGTCAGCATTGTTGTATAAATTAAGGCCGAATGAAATATTGTTTCAAATTATTAAACAATCAGTTAAGATTTATCGGTATTCAATGGTAAAATACGCTTACGCTTTATTTTGTAATCGCGATTCAGGACCTGAATTAATTTATCAAGCATCACGTGGACACGTGCCTCCTGATAATGATTACTGAATAATTTGTATTGATTGATAAATATTAAAGATAACTTGTTTGAACACAATTTCGTACTGATTTAAAAATTTGGCTTAGGCAAGTTCACAGCTTTACTAACAGGTATGTTAGAACTATCATCCCTGATGTTTTTAAAAAGTGGGATTGCGCTTTTTTAGTTAACTACAATGTTTTATTAATCAGTGAGAATGAGTTATCATAACTAGCATAATAATTGAGACACTAATAAATTCTACGAAATAAAATAAAAAACCTAGTAAAAGGCACTTAAGTAAGGCTACTTATCGAGCACTAAATAAAGAAAAACGGTTTAAAAAACAGACAGCATTTCAAAATGTTAATCTAAGATGCTGTTATTTTAAAAAATAATGGGGAAGGGTATTTATTTAGTACTTTTATATGCTAGAAAACTTACCTAGACATCCCACGAGCAGGGTGAAGAAAAGTATTCCGGTTTTTACTGCCATTTTGGAAGCCCGAGAAGGATTTGAACGTAAATGATTAATGCACAGATTTTTATAGACCGGCTCAATCTATCAACGAATTAATTGATAGGCCAGATTAAAGTTACCCTAGATAACAAATGACGACACTTAATTAGTTTAACCTCATAACAAAAACGTTTCTGAAGTTGATAAGGTGCAGGATTAAAAACAAATAATAAGTAGATACGTATTTACCTGGGTACTAATTTTAATCGCTGTCTGAGGATTAAAAAAACCAATACAACTTACCTACTTATTTGCATGCGCTCGTACTGCTAGTTACAATGGACCATAACCATTTTCTATTATTTTGTTAAGGTAAGAACACGGAAATTGACACGATCAAATGCATAATATGTACCTACTTAAATATCAAATAATTAAAACGTTGACAATAAGTAAGTTTGTTTTGCTTTTAAACTGCGTTGCACCGACCGTGGTCACAGGCCGACTGGTACCAGCGTTGCCAGACGTCCCGATTTTGGCGGGACGTCCCGATTTTTAAATCAAATTTAAATGTCCCGCGCGGGACAGGCTCGGTCCCGCTTTTCGGAGAGAGTCACTCACTTCATCAGACTATTGTTTGAAACGCCATATTATTCTGAAGAATAAAACTTTTTTAATTTCGATTTTTTTTCTTTTTTTATTCTAAAGACGAATTTAAAGATAGAGTAAAAATCTGATTTAAAATATAATTTTTTTGTTAAAATACATTTTCTATGGCTACTTTTGCTATCTATTGTCACGTAAACAACATGCTATAACAACAATTTAACAGCATTGTTGTGTTCCGGCAGTTAGAGGTAAGATAGCCAGTTCCTCCGTGGTTGAGGATTCCGGGTGAAGCTCGCTTCCACCTTCGGCCTGATCATCGCTTACCATCAGGCGAGAGCCAAGAGCTTCCTCGTTGTGGATAAAAAAAAACTTAATTTTAAGTCAAATAAAAAGATAAATATTTGAAAACCTTTGATTATATACGAGTACGTTTTTTTACTATGTCCCGCTTCTGACGGAAAAATCCCGCTATTTTCACTCAAAAAGTACCAAAGTCCCGACTTGGCGAAAAAAAAAACTGGCAACGCTGACTGGTACCGAATACTTATTGCGATCGTATTCGTGTGTAATCTTCTATTAGGTATGTCAGTAGCTTCCTCTTCTTTTGTGGGTTTTCCATAGATAAGTAGGTACTATTTTTTTTAAACCGCCAGAAGAAGACACGTAGCTTCATTAAAACTCAAGATTAACTAATCAATCACAGTCAATTACTATGATGAGCACAGCTTTGTCAAGCCTTCGCCTGGAATCATCACATAGGTTCTTGTGGGAGTAATAGGTCCCACATAAAATTACATACATAAAATTAACGGTAACCTATCCAGTATTTTAGGATAGGATCACTATAACTGTCGCTGTCGTTTTTACCAGCGTCTTAAGATGGATTAGGTTAGTCTGGATAAATCTTCAAAATAGCTCACATTTGACTAGGTCAATAGAACTTTATGTGACTGCTAAACACCCTTATTTCAGATTAGGTGACGGTACAAAATCATAGATTACAGACAAATGAGCTTATACTTAATTAAATTAGCATGCAGGCTACTTATAAACAGTCAATCTGGAAATAATTGGGAAAGACCTATGTTCAAAATTGGACGTCTTATGACGAAAATCGTGATATCACATTCACAGCGGCTCGGGCTTAACGAAGTGTTTTCGCTTAATTTCAACTGTTGGCTTTTCCCTTTAATAGATCATAGTTTTATCGACTTGGGTCTGATTAGCCGATATTACTGAGTAATGGATTTATCAATAGATATCTAACTATGGAAAAACCAGTCATCAATTGAAAAATTAATTAAGTAGGTACATTTATCTAAAGCGTGTCTAATAAGTAAGTAGATTGTAAAGTTATTTGTAATTGAAAAAAAGATGACTTGACTAAAAGGCAATGATAATCACGAATTCCCGAAACTACTAATACCTACTGGATTACGAAAAAAAAATGAATAAGTAGGTAGGTACTGTTTATAAAGTCACCTGTATGTATCTAGATCCCTACCATAGTAAAAACTTATGAAAAATCGTGGTATCAATCAAAATAATTTGATGCAATCTCTACTACAATGCATTAAATGCACTGCCATTGTTATCATTGATATGAATTTCGTTATACTATCGATATTGGCTTAAAATAAAACGACTATTCCATTCAGTTTAGCAGATCAGGTGTTTATTCATTTATTAACGGAGGTGCTGGTTGATCCAGGATTGGAAGGCGCTGACTCGGACGAACACGTCGGGCGCTCCGAGGGCACAAGGGAAGCCCCACGACACGATTCCGATCTGGGTGCCGCGGTCGATGCGGACTAAAGCACTGCCGGAGTCACCCTGAAATGACAAAATGAACCATAAATTATTAGAGAATAATATTTCACTATATTAAGCATCTGATCTCCTACAAAATGGTGGGGAAATAAGTCTAGCTTTATTCTGTAGGTATACCTACTCACTTTATCAGAGTCTTGCATCTTGTAAGCGCGCGTTAGCAAGTTCTAACATTTAATATGCACTAATGGGTTAAGTATAATTATTATTAATTTCTAATCTTTGTTTTATTTTTTTCGAACCAAAGTCGTGCACTGCTGGTGCATCGTATGCTACATTCATGCAGGCGCTTCCCGCGACCTTCTCCAGATCGTCAATCCAGTGACCGGGGCTGTTACGTTTCGATCCGTGATCGTCACTAAAACATTTTGTGCCTATTTTTGTATCTATATTGGCCCTCGCCTACAGCGACTCTTTGTAGCGATGCAGTCGTGCTGCTATAGCAGGTTAGCAGACTCTGACGTTAGTAGCGCGTTGGCATCACTTCTGTAGTGCGTTGCAAATGCGACTAACGCGCGTTAGTAGTGATTCTGTCACCGTGGGCGAGGGCCCTAAGACAAAGCATCAACATTCAAAATGACGTGCTTATCTACTTACGCGGCAAGTGCCTCTGCCTCGGGAGTGGAAGGTGCACAGCTCAATGTGTGGTTCTACAGGAGGAGCGCGGATGTTGAGCGTCACCGACGCCTTGCTGACCGTCAATGGTGGGTAGCTGGACTTCTATTAACGTCATACTTACCTTAAAACTGCAGTTGACACCGGTGATTGGACACAAATGACGCTTGAACTCCCCACACTAGTTTCTCTTGAGTATCCGCAAGCAGCACTAGTTACGATAGTTTAGAAACTTTAGATCCTAAACCCAAAATCTCACGTTACTTTCAATATTGGCCTGTCTAAGATTGAAAAAAACTTAGTGACTTACGCGGCAAGTGCCTCTGCCTGGGGAGTGGAAGGTGCACAGCTCGATGTGTGGTTCTAGAGGCGGAGCGCGGATGTTGAGCGTCACCGACGCCTCCTTATGACAAGGGAACAAGATCCAAAATAGCTTAATAACTTACGCGGCAAGTGCCTCTGCCTGGGGAGTGGAAGGTGCACAGCTCGATGTGTGGTTCTACAGGCGGAGCATTGATGTTGAGCGTCACCGATGCTAGCGCCGCGTCGCGCACGCATTGCTGGCCGTCGATGGTGGGAAGCTGGACTTCTAGTAGCGAGGCCGGGATGGCTGCGTTAGCCTGAGAAATAAAAAAAAATGAGTTACAATGTGTTTGCGATAAAAAAAAGAAAAAGGTAAAAAATACAATATAATGTGTTTGGTTACGCTTGGGAAATAATTTTCTGTATCATGTTACATTTTCATGTAATTGAGGAAAATATATGTACATAAATTTAATTTTATCTATAGGTACCTACTTGAGTAGGTACTTGTAGTCTGTATCTTATTGCATTTTAAGCACCACCAAACTAATTTCTATTCTAAATAAAACTTTTTCTTCCCGATTAACCCAAAGTTCGCCTCATATACCAATGTATGTGGCATTGAGAATAAATAAATACTAATTAAAATGATTATTTTGATTAATTTTTTTTTTTAACTTTTGCTATGTTTTCAAATTTATGATAACTATCAAAAAAGTCTCTCTTGAAAAACAAGAATGGAAGTGAATTTCATAAATCATCCCACAGGCAATACCTGGCCAGAACCGGCGCAAAATTAAATAAAATCTCGTAATTTATGCACCCTCGTCTTGTATTGGTTGCATGCAACGGCAACACGTGCTGATTTTAGCATGCTTTGTAAGTTTGAAGTGTGTCTTGCAGCGCGAGTTAGTTTCCACCAATACGGCGCTAGATGGCACTGTGCGCACTTGACTCGCGATATTAGAGTTTTTTTTCCGGTAAAGACTACCCCTGCCAACCAATCTCAAAGCATACTTACCTGGCATAGGGGACACCGTGATCATGAAGGCGGTTCCCCCAGGGCGAGGCTGTTCCATTGCACTGCGGAACGGTTGACCCCTGCGATTATCCCTAATGTGGATAACTCGGATGCGTAATTTTTGGTAGTGGGGACTGCGTACGCGCCGTCCCCCCAGAATTCCCTCCATGAATTAGTTAGCGTCTTCTCGGAGGCCTTATATCAGGCAGTTTCTACCAATATTGGACAGATATAATCGTTTGGTGGTACTTTTACAAATCCGCGTTTAGTATCGAGATTAAAATTATGCTCGTTGTTGTCTCGTCCTCGATGATGAAAGATAACTAGTGTAGTCCCGGCTTACATCCTCTGGCGTCACACAATTTTAAAGCTAAAATAAAATATTTCTGAACGCAGTCGTACCTAGGTCCCACCACGCCATCTATACCTGTCAACTCATTCGGTTTTCCGTGTTAATGGCGTCACGTTTGCGGTCGTGAAAAATTTGTTATTTAGAGTGTTTTTTGTACTGAATATTCGAAATAATGGAAATAAAAAGGAAAGGAGAACATAAACTTCCTCTACTGAAAAAGATTTGACGGTTGGAAAAGAAAATAATCAGTTTACCGGAATCCGATGACGAAGGTGAGGTTATGAAAAAATGAAGAATCTGTTCGAGGCTCTGGTTTATTGGTAATAAACTTACTTATAGCAACCATGGGGGTGTTCTGTGGGAACACACGAGGTTGGCGATATAAGTAGAGCACTTTTTTTGCGGCGATGTACGCATTTGTTGCATGACGCAATATGGCGGCAAGGCACGCTACGACAAAACAATACTTGTCTATTTATGCAACCACTGGGGTGTTCTGTGGGAACACACACGGTTGGCAATAATTACCAAGGGCATTCTTCGGGAATGCACGCAACTTTTATGCATGACAAGCTATGCAACTATGTTTTCTATGACGGACGCACACGTTGTCGGCAAACCTCGATGCATCCGGAGGGAATGCATGTAAATTTCGCGGTACAATGCAGCACAGTACCGGGAGCTTCCATTCAATAGTGTTTCTTTTACAGTTAAGGAGATTGAAGGTGAAGTTGAAAGTGAAAATGAGAATGATCATCCTGAAACAGAATTCCTTGAGGATCTTATCCTTGACGAGGATTACAACAAAAAGAAGGAATTAGGGGATGAAGTACTGAATATACTAGGAGTGGCTCCCGCTCCAGCCCCTAAGAATGCACTTCTGCTCAAACAAATTGCTGAGAGATGGTGCGAGATCCTGGAGAAAGGACTGAAAAAAGATGAAAAAGAAACAGTTACAAAAGACAATCCAGCCTTCCAGAATGTACTCAAGATGTGTGCTCAAAAACATAATAAGGAAGTTGCCGCTGCTCTAAATGACAGGGCTAAGAGAAGGGATCAAGTAATTGAAACCCGACAGAAACAAATGTCCACAGCCTTGGCCTGTGTAGGCCATGCTGTATAGATGTGTATTGGAGATCATTAACAACTAAAACTGTATTAAGAAACTGAATGAAGCGGGTTAGCAGCTAAGTGATTATATATGTTCCGGAAACCAATTGATGTAGAAACTTGGCACTCTCAACAATAAAAAGTATCAATCTAAGGACTCATTACTTGAAACTGAGAATGGAGATTATTTGTTTGATAATAATCTGATTGAAAAAATAAAAACTGCAAGGGCAGTTCAATAATCATGAAAGGAATTAAAGGTGACAGTGAATGAGAAAAAGAAGAACTTCATAAGGTGACCTGAAATCAGTGCTGAGAACGAGAACAATCGTGCTTCAAACTGGTGGGGCCCTCCTCGGATGTGATCACAGAGGTTCCAGAGGTCAGGCGGGCCGACATGCAATCGTCAAAACCAGCCAGCAAGGAGACGAGGGTAAAAATAATGCTAAGGTAGGCAGAATCAGTTTTTATTCTTAACAATTGGAAGCAAATCACTAGTGATCCTGTGATATTATATTGTGTCCAGGGTTATAAATAATTACCTCAACAGGGGTCTCTACCCCTAAACAATAATTTGCTATTGGTAGACCAACGGCAGATTAAATTAAAATTTAAATTGTTACTCAGTACGAATGCCATTGAAACATGATGGTTACAAGTGATCGATTCTGTTCTCCAGTCTTTGTTATAAGAAACCAAATGGTACCTATGTTTCATTTTGAATTTGAAAAACTTAACACTTGTGAATACTGAACATTTTAAACTAGAGGATTATCGCACAGTATGTAAGCTTATACAGAATAATTATTACCTATTTAGTAACTTTAGATCACAAAGATGCATATTACCTGACTAATATAAATGACTGTTGTTAAAAAGTATTTAAGGTAAAGTATTTATTTATTTTTATGAAGGAAAACATTACTAAGTAAATGTTGTTGGACTTTAGAAAATTACAGCAAATTACAGCTGCTCTATGAGAGAAAAGTTGCATTTCAATTATTTATAATTGACAATTATCCGGGTATTGGTAAAGACTATATTATGTTTTAATAATATGAACATGATTTTAGATCTTATCCACATAAAGTTTTATTGTTAACAAAGAAAAGTGTGNTTTCTAAACTATCTACCACATCTTACATATTCATCACCATCTAATTGTCAATCATTATTTTCAGACTCATTTAACTACTTCTACCTGCTATTTACCTACCACCGTTCTATCACTATTTGGAATGTAGCTAATGCAGCTTTAATGATGCAAAGCTATTTTAATACATTCCTATAGCCATTTCAGTAATAACTCTCTGAATATTATTCCTACGTTTCCTCATCGCATATAAGTAAAAGTCAATTCCGTGAATTATTAGACACATCATTCTATTCTAACTACCTATCTATGTCTCATTTTTTTTTTTATCTAATGCTTTTTATTGTAACTTGAAAATGAAAATTAAACATTTTTAGATAACCCACTGTTGAGAAAAATAACAAGTTAAACGGATTGCTGCATCCTATTATTCTACGAGTAGTACCTAACAAGAATTCCAAATAAAATAGTTATGATATCGAATAACAAAGATTAGATTGAGCTAATTTGCAAAATAATTTCTGGTATAAACATTGTTTGTGTTAGTGTTCGTTTCTCTATATAGAAGGGCTTCATATTTCGCAAAATGCTGATGCTACAACACGTGTCGACAAATATGGTTCGATGCAATGATGATGACATCCACCTAGCAAAAGTAAGACGATGTTTTAAATTATTATGCAATTCAACTATTGTAATTTACGACGAATTCTAAAAATAAACGTATTTTTTTTTAAATCTACTGATGTCAAAACTACTTGTCAATATTTTAACGCAATAATTTTGATATTGGCAATTATATGATTTACTTAATTTTAAACTTTATTAAGAATTTAAATGTATAAGGACACACTGATTACGATGTTTTACTTAATATTATTATTATGCAAAAAAATGATTGGATATTACAATCTTGAATAATTGAAAGCCTAAAAAGAGTTGTTACTTAAAAAATTGCAAATCCGATTGTACCTAATTACTTACGCCAGTACATTTTTTACATTTAAATTTGAGAAAACCAAATTAAAAGTTTTATGTAACATCATGTATTTTGTATGCAAACTGTGCAAATAATACCCAATGTGTTAAAGAAATAAATGAGAAATTAACCTAAATCTTTGAGAAAAAAAAAAAACTAATTGCCTCAGGCGGGATTTGAACCCACGAAATGTTAAACATCATAATATTCGTACAGGCATCTAAAAATAACATTTCATCCAATCAGCAATTTTAACCTATCGCTATTCCTGACGTGTAGAGCTACTTCAAAATGCAATAATAATCACAGTATGCAAAGTTATTTATAGGATTAATGGAGTAATGGAATGAATAAATATTAATTATTCATTTATTAAATAATCATTTCACTTACCTTTTTAAAATAAAACTTGTGTAATTTTACTGTCGTTGAGCAGCAATCTATGTTGATAAAATTAGTTAATTCCAGTGAAGCAAAAAAAATTTACTTTGTTTGTATTTAACAAAATTTAAGTAATAATATAGCATTATAATGAAAATAGAATTGATCCGTCCGTTCTCATTTACCGTAATATAATAATCTAGCGTACATACTAGGTAACTTAGCGTGGCCACGTAAAAGTTAAATTAATAAAATTCCATTAAGGGAAAAAGAAAAAAAAAAGAAAGTATACAATGGGGTTGCCGTGTCTTCTCCGTTTTTTCGAAACTGCGTCTTCTCCTTGTCCATTGACACGCATGACACTCCCGGCGGGAACCACAATCGTCACGGCTCCAACAACACCCAGCGCCCAGCAACAAACATCATCGACATCGGACTCCTACCATCGCCCGGCACCCAGCATAACTCGCCATTATTCCATTATTGGATCTTCATTTTGAATATCCTTGAGCACCATCATCGCCCGGCTGCTATCAAAATGTCTCCTCCAACGCACTTGATTAACTTTTTAACGTAGATAGTATTTACCGCATCATTTAAAATAAATTGTCCGACTTTAGTTTTTCACTTGTACACGAAATTCACATTATAATTATGTGCACAGCACTGCCCTAAGGCAGCACTGGCAGGGTCGCCATGTAATGTGGGGACCAAGGAGATGGAATAAAAGATGTTAATTCGTCGACGATCGGTTTAATACTACTTTAAAATGAGTTACAGCTAACTTATAAGTATATGCCTTGCATTAAGTTGGTACTAAAGGAGAGGTGTGTCATACACTACATAGTTACCGTTAAAGTTAGGTGGTGCAACTCAGCCTTAGAACGGTACGGTTAATTTGATAATAACGTAGTACCTATCCATCTATCTAAGACAGTGGTTTTCTGGTCCCTGAAGTCATTCCAAGTGGTCCACGAAGTGCACTTGCACACCTTGGTCAAAACCAATTTTAACTGATTTTTGCAGTCAAACTGGTTTTGACCGATTGAGGTGGTCCCTGACAAGATAGAAATTTAGTAAAATGGTCCCTCTTGACTTAAAGGTTAAGAACCACTGATCTAAGACGTAGCTTCGGCAGGCCTCCCACTAGGTGGACCGACGATCTGGTGAAGGTCGCGGGAGGTGCCTAGATGCGAGCGGCGCAGGACCGGTCTTTGTGGATATCCTTGGGGGAGGCCTTTGTACAGCAGTGGACGTCTTTCGGCTGAAACGAACGAACGAAACTATCCATCTAAGGATTTCTATTCTCTTAATTGCATGGTGGAATAGAGATTTCGTTATACAAAATCTGTACGTTTCAGCCAAAGAACGTCTACCGCTGGTCAAAGCTTCCTTAAGATTTCCACTACGACAGTTCCTGCGCGTTGCTCGCGTCCAGGTGCTTCCCGCGACTTTCACCAGAATGAAATCTATTTATAGAAATGAGAGAGAGAGAAAGATTTTGATTGCGGAATTCGATCTATTTGGGAATATAAATACTTTACCTATTTATACTACCGCTATGACAGAATAACTAATAAAAAATACCGCTATTTCGGATTAACAGACATTCTCGTATTAGGATTCTGCAGCCAACGTAATCTCATTAATCCTTCAAGGCCCGCGAATCTAGACACAATAGATAATCAATTGTTATGACATTAATGAATGCCGTCTGGGACTCAAGCGGTTAAATTATGTAACTTTATCAATTTCTAATCTGCTACAAAAATTAAAAATCGATGTCCCAAAGTTTATTGTTGACACAAATATTACATATTCACGTGTTGATAGTAAACAACTACGTCACAATGTTTGCAGATCTTGCTAATAAGGCGATCACGGCGCTAACCTGTGATAATTATGTCGTAGTATCCAACTCACGACTTCATTCATCAAGTCTGAAGTTATTTAACCTTCAAGCGGGCGCGCGGTCTTTTGTAATGGCAGCGGTCGCGCGTAAACGAAAAGACCTATAGGGTCTAGTAGAGAAATAAAGCACTTATTTTCCAATAATAATTTATTATTTTGTACGCAGATATATTATGATTGTATTAAAGTCATAAGTAATTTGAATTAAGTTACAGAAACAATTATTTAATCAATTAACATAACGCAAATATTATTTGGATTAAAAACCAATTTTTGGAACACAAAATCTTTTAAAATACCTCAGAATAGTTAATGTACCTGGTAAAAACGATAGAAATGGCAGAATAACGATAAAACATAATTTTATAATTTTGGTTCAGTTTAGCTTGGTCTCTGAGCTCCGATTCACTCTCTTTTTCATCTTTTCATAGTAATGCCTCTGTTATTTCACTTTGTACTAGCAGTCTACGACTTATTTAATAAGAAAAAACAGTATTGCAAGCTTAATTCAATAATATTGGGTGATAGCCGAAGAAATGTTATATCGCATAGAGAGTCGCGCGTAGTCTTTTCGACGACAGGCGCGTGGCGTGCTTTCGACGCCGGCGCCGCGACTAAAACAATAGCAAGCCATGGGGTGGGAAAAGCGCGGAGAGCTGAGGTAAGCTCTTTATTTCACTCACAATGAGCAAGCGACAGGCTACTAAAAATGAAAAATATGTGTAACAAGTAAAAAAAAAGTTATGAACGAAAATGTGTTAGGCGCGGTCGATTCGACGCCGCGCGCCCGCTTGAAGGTAATGTCCCTTTGGATAATTACATGTTAAACGCATTGTCGTGTTTTATGTAAGTATTGAATTTTTTTCCAAACAATAACTGAGTAAATATTTTTCTTACGCATGTTGTATACTGCTTTATTCAATTTTTGAAGCGTTTGAAGTACAACCATAGACCAATCAAAATATCAGATAGGTACTTCATCATCATCATTTCAGCCACAGGACGTCCACTGCTGAACATAGGCCTCCCCCAATGACTTCCACAATGTACGGTTGGTAGCGGTCTGCATCCAGCGCCTTCCTGCTACCTTTATCAGGTCATCGGTCCACCTTGTGGGTGGAGGTCTCACGCTGCGTTTTCTGGAGTGTAGTGTTTTTCCTAAATGCGTTTTCTGGAGTGGAGGCCAGGTACCGGAAAACGCTGGTAGGTAAATAAAATAACTTATGCTTAGGTACGTATAGATAAATTTTATTACACTTTAAATAAATATTCCTACTCAAATCTACAAATTGGTACTAAGAAAGAATCTTTCATTGCTACATTTTGTGCATGTCATTATATTTTTCCTACTGCCAGCTAATTGATTGCAGTGAAATAGTTTTCTAATACTCAGTAGTGTATTTTCTTTCTTTTCTATCTTTGTTAATCCCTCGCATCGTAAATGTGGCTTGCTAAAGAGAAATATGAATATGTCGTTTTTAACGCCTGAAATAAAATAAGGATTATTCAAAAACTGTAAAATATTAACTTTTTTAGAATAAATCTGAAGTGAATAACGCCCGTATTCACAAACATTACTATGAGTACAAGGTGACACACGAACCAATCATAAAGCTCTCTCTATTCAACGCTGTGCGTTCGATTTGCTGCTTCACTTAAGCAAGTATCGTTTGTGAATACGGGCGTTGAACTCGACCGTTGTACTACATTTATGAGTGCTCGAAAGTTCTTACTGAAATTGTGTATTTATTTATCGATAAATGTTTTTCTAAACGTTAAAACTTGAAACGGCTAGCCGCTTGTTATGGGCTAGAGTGGCGCTAGACCGATGTTAGTATTTTCAAATATTCCTTGAAGTCCGAGAAAAGTTTTTATTAACAGTCAAATTGGAAACGTTTTCCGGAATCATTTCAAATTTGGGAAAAACTAAATGTTTATTTTTCCATGAGATGGATTTCAATTGCGATATTTTTTTTCAAAAAGCGCGGCGCCGTCTCTTTGGTATAAAAAATATATACACTGGCCTTGAAACATAACAAATTATACTTAAGGTAGTCCTTTCATAGCAAAAAGTTTGGGCCTACTTTCATACATACTCTGTTAAACGTTTTCATGCTGATTGAATAATAATTTAACGCCAGTAAAGTACACGGCTTTTGCGATCTGAAAAGGTTAAATAATTTTCGTGAATGTTAAATAAAAAAAATCATGCGTAAGCGTGGGCGTATTTTAATATTATGACATCGTAAGGGCCAGAATAGACGGAGAAATGCAACTGCAACTTTCTGATGATTCTGATGAATGAAACTGAAACTGAAAGTTTCAAAATGGTCGCGTCATGTGTGGTCTCTCAACGGACGCTATGGCAGAAACTTAGATGCAACTCAAAAGTAACTAGCAGTTGCAGTTTCGTTGCAGTTGCGTTTCACCGTCTGTTCTGGGCCTAAGAGACCGTATATTTGGAAATGTTTTCATTTTATTTGAAAATACATTTTAAGCACCTTTTGTCACTTCAAATTACATGTCAATTAAAAGTTTTATTGCGTCTTAGATAATTTTCGTTAATGCTTAATTGCTTAAACACGTCATATCATACTCGTACATGGCTTAATTGGACCAACGGCTCATATTCTACGAAGCTCTACATCTTATTTATTTTCGAATTAATATATGTTTTCTTAAACTAGGATTATGTCCATAAAGTAAATCAAAGAAACTGATGCCAAATAGATCTATGAGAGTATCTTTATGACGTGGGTCTAAGATATTAATAAGACTGGTCTCAAATAATATAGAATACCTCATGATAATAATACAAATAATCTTCTGGTATCGCAAGTCCCCGTCGTACCACATGTTCTTGGCAGCGGACAACGCTATACCCGTGCTCTGGAATAATAAATGGAGGGTAAAAATAACATCGTGGATATCAAAAGTTCAAAATAAAATGATATTACGCTCTAGAATGATAAGCATGGATTAGTTGATATATTATGAGTATGAAAATAATAATTATTTCGTATCGGTGTGTATTCGTATAAATGTGGTCCACATTTGTTTTCGAGATCGAAAATAAAGGTAGGTATTTGTAAAGAGTGTTTGGTAATTTGTTGTGCATAAATTACTTCATTATTCCCGTTAATCGCTCTAGTTACTCCCCTTTTATCACAATAGTCCAGCGGTCGGCTGAGGGATTTCAAATCGGCAGTCCATCGTTTGGCAATCAGTGGCAATGGGTAGGGCACACAGTACGCAGAACTGACGGCCGATGGCGCAGCAAGGTTCTGGAGTGGAGGCCTCGTACCGGAAAACGCAGCGTGAGACGTCCACCCACAAGGTGGACCGACGACCTAATAAAGGTAGCAGTCCAGCGCCTTCCGCTGGATGCAGGCCGCTACCAACCGTGCGATGTGGAAGTCATTGGGGGAGGCCTATGTTTAGCAGTGGACATCCTATGGCTGAAATGATGATGATGAGTCCATCTTTTGGCTATTGTTGCCTCAAATGAATGTATGACGGTGGTAGAATGCATCATCATAATATAATACAAAACACTTACAGATATACTTAGCATTTCACTGCAGTAGCAAACGATGAGTAAATTCGCCATGTACGCAACTAAAGCAGCTCCATTAGTTAACTTGTACGCCGGATCTATGGTGGTCTGAAAATCATTGTGGAGAAAAAGAAATCATATTACCATTGTTCTTTAAAATGTATCGTCCTATTAAATTAACTTATGCATTAATTGTATAAATTTACATGTGATGTCAACCGCCCGAAGCAGTCAGCTTCTCATTGTAATAAATGTATCTTTCTTTCTTTCATTACTAGTATGCCGTGGAAACACGCTAAAGCAGGGTTTCCCAAACTATGGGTCGCAACACACATTGAGTGGGCCAAGCCTGTAGAACGACACACCACCCTACCGATCAAACCGCAGGGCAGAGGGCGAAATTTCCTATAGGTAGGTGGGTTCCGAGTTTGGGAACTTGTATGAGTCGTAGCCCAGACAACTTTGGGAACCACTGCGCTAAAGGATTACTTTCTTGTTCAACACAATTGTAAATTTAGTATTAATCTAAATGATGTAATGTGTTGTGTTTTCCTATAAAATAAAAAAAATAAAAAGTAATATGACAGGCCTTACCACAGAATAATAATAAGTACTACGCACAGAAGATTTACTTCTCGAAGGTATTTTAAAAAATGTATGCTCAATGTCATTAACAATATGGTGTAATTTAGCCTGTCTCAAGAGTCAAGCACCATTTTGTTGACAAACGTCAGTGATCGGCACTGCGCCGAAGCTATAGGGCTGACATCGGTAAAATTATGTGACGTGAGGTGCCAAACTGCGGAAAATGGCGGAGGAGATACATGATTTAGCATGAATTATCATGAATAATATTAACTACTTATTTACCTCTCAGTGTCTTGAGGCAACTTATAAAAGTTCATTCTATGTTTTTATTATTATTTAGGCAGTTAAATACTGCACAGTATTTAGTTCAATATTTTCTTTATTTTCTTCCATCATACACAAGAATACGCGTGCGTGAGTCAATGTTCGCTCGTATGTGAGGCCTTGTCGAATAGTATCCTGTAGGTGGGCCATCGTGCGTGTTTTGTTTTCGATGTAAACTCGCGGAGATGTCAGGCCTGGCCTTACCTTCACAGCAACCGCAAAGAAACAAACGACGACTGTAGAGATCACCAAGTTTACAAATACCATTTTGTTGAACGCATCGTTCAGTTGCCGCGTCAACCTTAAACAAAGACGAATTTTAAACAATCATTTTATTATTTGTTAAGTCACGTTGGCCGAGCTTAGGCCAATGCGAGTGTAGTCAAATTAATACAAGGCAAGTGGTATTGCCTCGACGTTTGGCAAGTTTGTCGAAAACCAATGCAAAATACGCGGACAAACATGTGAACACTATTGACCGAGTGCGCGCGAGCGCCTTTGATTTGTGCTGAAAAACCGACAACGTTCCGAAGTGCGGCAAGACGTGGTCGCGAGTGATTGCAAGTAGTAACAAACTATTTTGATTTTGATTTTTGACTACACCAAATGAGTTCCATACACGTTGGCAGTTGACTTACCTCGGCCAACTAAGCGAGTGACATCGAGCGACGGCAAGACAATGCAACTGTCTACAGTGTAGACACCGTGTGTCCAGCAGAATGGCACCATGTGTCACCTTTTCTCGAAGCAACTCAAATACCATCATCATCATTTCAGCCATAGAACGTCCACTGCTGGACATAAGCCTCCCCCAATGCTTTCCATGTTGATCGATTGGTAGCGGCCTGCGTCCAAGCTTCCCTGCTACTTTTATGATGTCATCGATATGATGATACTTACTTAAATACCAACTTACAATATAATATCCTGATGTCTTCTAACAAAGTCTTCGATTGTGTACTCCTTGCCTTCATAATACTTAGTTATTTCCATGTCATATTGGTATTTAGTCTTTTTGTTGTTCGTTGGCTTAATATTAATCAGATCGTCTTGCAGGAGTCGAAACTGTGTGCTGATGTGAATGCTCAAATTGGTCAGTAGAAAATTTGGAGCCAGGTATAGATGAACCATTTGTAATGCTGCAAAGAGAACTTGCTTTTTTTACAAGATACGTGACACCATTATTTATTTATTTATTTATTATCAGAAAATGTATGTTTACAGACAGGTCCAAAACACATACATATAATATAATTAATTTACATTTAGTTGCATGTCATAAATTAGGATTACCATGTCAAATCAAATACAAAAATAAAATACATTATCATTAATATGGTCATTAAATACAAGTCATAGCTCCAGAGACAGGCGTCCAAGGAAGAACATAATGTAAAACAGTCAAGTCAACACAAATCATTGCAGTCAGAAATAAACATTAAAACAAGTCACACAATGTTAATTAAGTACAAATGTCATTAATAAACGAAAAGGCTTTGCAACACAACTGCCCAAGACTGTCAGCAAATAGGTCGGTATCATAATCGTGAGCGAGCATATCCCCAATTAGGCGCAAAGCACGAGTGGTGGGCGCGTGTGCGGCGTACCTAGTGCGCGCGGGCGGGCACCACAGCAGGCGCGGCTGCCGCCGCGGCGCTACCGTTCCTTCCTCGTCCCAACTCAGGCGCTTGGGAGCTAGTAGCCCCACTTTACTCAGCGTCGTCGGGCTATCAATCCTATTGTGTATAATACACAAATAGTGAATTATCGTCTGCATGGTTCTCCTAAATTTAAGCGTATCTAATCCAACCATACCAGATACAAATAAAGACGGATATAGGTACGGGTAGTAACCGTATTTCCTCTTATATAGCCAGCGTGAAAATTTGCGTTGTACCCTCTCAATCATGAGACAATACTTTGTTTCAAATGGATCCCATATAATGGCACCGTATTCGAGTATACTTCGTACATACGCATTGTACAGTACCAATGGGACCCCTGATCCGTTAAACTGAGACGAAGTGCGCATGACAAAACCAAGCATTTTGCTGGTCTTTTTACAAACACTGATCACATGGTTATGAAAGTCCAATCTGGAATCTAATATTAAACCTAAGTCACGTATTTCACTTACCCTCTGCAAGGGTGCGTCAGATAGATTATAAACTAATAGAAGTGGACAACGTTTACGCGTGAAAGTTATGATCTTACATTTATTTTTATTAAATGGAAGACGGTTCGAAACACTCCAATCCACAACCGCATTGATGTCTCTCTGAAGAGTGTCGCCATCGGTTGGGTCATCTATGCCTAGGCTCAGTTTGAGGTCATCTGCGAATAGTAAGCATTTGGAAGCGATAACCCTTTCCGGCAGGTCATTTATGAAAATCAGAAAAAGCAAAGGCCCAAGCGTACTTCCTTGACTAACTCCTGATCTTGTAAAATAATCACTGGACACGAACTCACCAACCCTAACAAATTGACGCCTATCACGCAGATAGTTTGAAAAAAACGCTACAAGTTTTGGTGTAAAGCCTAACGCTGCCAATTTACGTAATAAGATGTCATTGTCAACCAAGTCAAATGCTTTTTTGAAATCAAAGTAGGCAGCGTCCACCTGCCTACCAGCATCCAATTCAGCATATACAAAGTCTACATACACATATTTCAGAAGCAAGCAATTACTTCATCTAAAGTCACTTTTCATATTTTCTTCTAAGGAATTTTTATACATGAGTCAAATGACTATTACTCTAAAACTAACTAATGTATCTTAACCGTTATAAAGGGTGTTGTTGTGGTATTGTTTTTAGAGGTATACAACTTTAAATTGCTTAGACTTTTTCTAGTGACAGTTAATTGGATAGTTGGTGGTACACTTGTGGTCAGTATGTTTTGCCATTTCATAATTAAATAGAATTACTTCGGAACAACGCAACACTTGCAAATTGTGCAAAAATATATTTTGAAAATCATGGTTCAGTTTTCCATACAAACGCCTATTACGGTCGACGTAATTTTCGTAACTTTTTATTCCTCAGATGAATGATATTGAGGTGGAAGAGCTATGGTTTTAATATCCAACCACCACGCGAACCTATGGATTATTTTCTCTGCGGATACGTGAAGTCCACTACTGCGCAGATAAACTACGGAATTCAATGCCAACATTCGTCGCGTTATTGCCGATGTATGGCCCCAGTTGCTCGAAAAAGAAATTCAAAATTGGACATCTCGATTACGCTACATTTGAGCCAACCGTGGCGCCCTTGGCCCGAAATCATTTTGAAACATAAATGGCATAAGAACATCTTTTAAACAAAACCAATACCATGTAAATCAAACATTTTTTACATATTTTATTTCATTAAACACCCTATAGTTTTCCTTGGGGTGTCAGTTCGAATTACCTCCACGTAAAAATGGGTTGCTANATGCAAAGTCTACATGGGCTATTAGGTTGGTTGTAGTAGAACGAGCAATTCTAAAACCGTGTTGACTATCATGTAATAGATTTGCAATTTGCCTGTTGATTTGTTGGCACAGTACTGTCTCAAATATTTTTGCAAAGACTGATAACACTGCAATCGGTCTAAAAGAAGATACATCATTACCACTATCAGACTTAGGAACTGGTGTGACTCTAGAAACTTTCCAGTGTTGTGGGTACTTTGAGTAAAACAGTAGCAAGTTGAAAAGATAGAGAAGAGGACCTTCGAAAGCGGATATGCAGTCCTTTGCTAAAAATACAGGAATACCGTCGGGACCACTCGATGATCTCGGCTTTAATCGACTAACTGCTTTAATGAGATCCCTATCATCAACTGCATTTACCGAAATATAGTTAGCATTACATTGACTATGTGCTGTCTGTATCGCATCGACTGGGTCCAATACGGGCACCCCTGCTGATATACGGAACTAAAATAATCCGCGAAAGCATCTGCTGCCGCTTGATCAACAACCTCAGTGTTACCAGCCATATATACATTTAAGGACTGCCTATCCTTTTTCTTGTCTTTAACGTACTCCCAGAATTTTGCTGGGTTATCAGAAATACTTTTTTCAGTCAAATATAGGTGCTGCTTCTCTGCATTGTCAATCAAGTTTTTAACATGCCATCTATAATATCTAAATAATTCCTTGTTAAATTCTTTGCCTTCAGCCTTAAACCGTTTCAAGTGATAATATTTTTTACGTATATTGCTTATAATATCGGCAGTAAACCATTTTGGATACACGAATTTGCGATTTGGTACGTAACGGGATTTGGCAGGAACATGTTGATCAATACAATTGTAAATACGGTCATAAAATAGTGCAACTGCAGCGTCAATGTCAGTTAATTCATATAAATCAGACCAATTCATGCATCCTAATGCCGCATACAAATTTTGGTAATCGGCCTTACGCCAATTCCAGTCCGGGCGATGTCCAGGACGTTGTGCGGGTAGCTGAGAGGACGGGGACAGGGCCGGTGCGCCGCACCAAAATCTGATCGTCACCTCTAGTGGAGGGTGGTACTCATCGATTGGTACTAAGGGTTCACAACCATCGGACACGGTAATAAGCTCAGGGTCAAGATCACTTAATACGAGATCTAACATGCCGCCACGATTATTATACACAATGTTACGTTGCTGTACCCCACAAAAGTCACAAAAAGAATCAAAATAGGATTTAACATGTACACTACAAGAGTTTAAATTAAAATCTCCTAGGATTATAACATTGAAGGACGAGTATGTAACAATAGCATTCTCAATGCAAGTTAAAACACTGAGATATTGGTCATCATTATAACTGGGAGGTAGGTAGACAACACAACATAAAAACTTACCAATGCCTTTCCCACTGACAAGGGCAAAAATTAGTTCCATATCAGACGTAAAAGCATCAATATTAGTTACGTGCTGTACTGTGTAGCATTTCCGTACGGCCAAGAGCACTCCTCCCCAACCAGTGTCACCATTTCTGTCCTTACGTACTACCACATACTCCGAAGTAAACAGTTCACCGTCTGATATAGAACTAGTCAAAAAGGTTTCAGTCAAAGCAATCACATCGAAGTTACATTGTGTCACATTATTTTTAAAAGTTACAGTTTTCGAACGTAGCCCTCTGACGTTTTGATAACAGTAAATCAATCTACGGACTTTTATCTTTGGCACGAAAATTCTGCCGCCATGGCTTAATGCAAATGTCTTCAGCCCAGTTATTGGGAGACATAACACTATCGGCAATCTTCGCTGGGACACCTAGCTTAAATGAAGAGTAGCGTCCTCTGGATTTCAGTTCCTCAACTGTGTACNCTGTGTAATCAACATTTCCATTGATAGAACGAAGACAATCATGGACCTGCTCAGCTGTTGTGCCCTCCTGCACATAATAGAGATGCAGATACCTCCATCTTTCAGATGCACGCAACGTAGTGGTCCCTGGAGCTGCGGTGCCGCGGAGCACACTAGGTAATGACGCTCGCCCAGATTTACGTCTAACCTGAGTCCACTCTTCTGTGTTTTTTTGCACAGTGGTAATGTCTCCGGATTTCTGAGTTGCTCTATTGATCGGGTTCTTAATTGGAGTGGCGACATCAGATACCAGAGCCTGAGTACGGGTAGGAACAGGTGCCAGAGAGGTAGAAGGCACTCCTAACTTAGTCTGCGTGCCAGCTTTCCCTGCAGCTTCTTTCTTATTCTGACGAGAATAATTTTGTTTCGGCTTAGTCTTTCCATTATCCATGTTTGATGACTGCTGTACCTCGGCCACCTTATCCTGTGCTGACACAGCACTGTATTTGTCCCTGTTTTGGATCATGTCTTCCAATTTGTCAACTTTGCAGGTCAATTGACAAATTTTTTCATACACCGTCGCCTTAAATTCGTTGAATTGCTGGGTTAATAATGTGCAAAGTCTCTCGGTAAGGCGCGATTCAAATCCATCCTGCATTTGCTTTATTTCCTGAATTACAGTAATCATATTATTGGAGCTGGAGTCGTGCATCATCGTTACTTCAACAGGCTCAACCAACTTTGGCACCGGGCGCCGCACATTACGGACCGTAACATTATCAGGGCCATGCAACAAGACATCACTAACAACACCCGTATTTTGACTTAGCTGGCGGCGCACAGGCGTTAGCGAGTTATCATTTTTCGGTATTTTGCTTTTACATTCGCAACATATCCAAATCGTTTTATATTCTGGTGTCAATGTAACAAATATCTCTGCGGTAAAATTGGCACATATGAGATCAAAGTATTGTTTACATTTGGTACACCTCATATACGCGCTGTCTTCCATAATAACGCCGCGGCAACCCGCGCAGTTAACTTGGCGTAGTGACGTCATCTCGATCGCAGAACGCAGCTTGGAGCTCGGGCGGCGGACGGTGACTCAGCGCTGCGAGCGTACCGCGTAGCGTAGCGGGCGGTACAGTTTGTAACGGCCGATTAAAATATTGAAATGTATTCGCTTATAACTTGACTATTATAACGTATTTATGAAAACTGATCACTTCCCAATGTAGTGTAGATCACAGGCTTTAAGAATATTGCGCACTAGACACTGGTATTACACTTTTTACCAACAATTTACTGATTTGTTTACGGAGCTAACGAACACAGATGTTTACTAAGTGACGGCCGACCGCCGAAATCAAAATTAACCAAAATTAAACTCGTGGTCTCCTATAAATGCCGTAGGCTGTGTCATAATGCTTACTATAGAAATGTACTGTGTATCAAGTCTATTTCAAACGTTAATGTAGGCGTATGGACGTCGATAGGAACGCGTATAGCGTTTAATAGGAGATCTTAGTCAAAAGGATAGTCCATATTATTTAGGTACTTTTCTCATGCAACAAATAAAAAGGTATCAAATGGTAATAACTTTTAGACTTATGACATTTTACTTACCACCAATGATTTGTAATGCATAAACTGCCAAATAAACCGGCCAGTTGTCGACAGCAAACGGATACTCGCAAGGGAACGGCAGAACCATTTCTATTTCGTTGCCCCAAAAGATGTGCTTGAACAGCATCGAGATGAACGGGTACAGAAAGTACTGCCATGCTGTTGTCATGCAGGACTTGTTGTATACTAAAAAACAAAAGATATAAACGGTCGGCCGTTTGGTGTAGTGGTTCTAAAGGTGCGTACGGATTGCGCGTACCCTGTTTCTGGAACGCCTAGTCTATACATACATGGACTGGTCCATACATACATGGACTAGGCGTTCCGGATACGCGTATACTGAGTACGCGTACCCAGGGTACGCGCAATCCGTACGCACCTTTAAACGAACTACTATGCCGAGAGGTCCCGGGTTCGATTCCCGGCCGGCAGAAATTGAAATGATGAATTTTAATTTCTGTGACGGGTCTGGGTGTTACTATGTATGTATTTAAAAAGTATATCATGAACTGCCTGTGAGGTTTCAACATCATTTCAATTTGCAATGATAGGTTTTAAAATAAATAGGTACCTACTAGGATCATAATATTAATTTCGATATTATTGCTTCGCAGGAATATTAAAATGTTAAATTTATTAAATTAATTAATCATAATATAGTAGTAACAGATACATTACTGTATAGTCCGTATTTAAGGAATTTTAGCGAGGAATTCTTTATTAATATTTGTTCTTTTGTCAGATCAGTCATCCTCCAAACCGCACCCAGATGTTCGATGACCAGTCTTACGCCCTCCTTGTTTTTTGTAAATAATATGTATTTGAAGATAACTGCAAGATCAAAGGTTAAAGGTCACCCCTAAGCCGCCTATTTAGTTTTATTAAAATGATTTCATATTTGGCTGGAAAATCAGTGGACGTCCTTTGGCTGAAACGAACGAACGAATGAACGAACGATTTCATATTTATCACATTTACGAAATCATGAGGTAATTATTCATAATAACCGGTTATTATTAACAATTTTCACATTTATCACATTTACCGTACATAAATGTTACAGTCAAAACTCATAATCGGTCAAAACCACTTTTGGCTTATTTTCCCAGTCAAAAGTGGTTTTGTACAAGGGCGTCGGTCAAAATCACTTTTGAGTGCTTTCACTTTTGATTAGCAGTCAAAAGTGGTTTTGACCAAAGTCAAAGTCAATTTGTTTTTAGACTAATAAATAGTTCTTACAAATCGTCATTTTGCTCTTAAGGAGCCTCTACATGTCTCATAATCTTTTTACCCTACCAGCTGAGCCAGCAGGACCGATTATGAGTTTTGTCTGTAACATCAACAAATACAAACCTTGGGTTGATATAAGCCACAAAGCGATCATATCCGGCTTCGCAAACGGGTCTAAGCCTTCAGCTACAACTTTTACCATGTACATTGTCACAGTATAGTAGAAGAAAGCAAAAGGTATGCCGAAAACAAAGAAATGCCGATACTTATCCCAAAAACTGGTCTTGGAACCGAAAAATGTTATGTTGACACGTTTATAGTACTCCAAAGATAGTTTTAAAGAATTTACAAATTCTTCGGGGTACGCTTCTAAGCCCTCCATTGCAAAATATTGTATGGTGTTATACCATCCAACTAAAACAGTCGAAAAAGAAAAAAAAACTTATACAAACAAATGATCCAGCTTTTCAATCAAGAATAATGGAATATTTTCTTAAACTGCATGTAGTGGAGCCATTTACTATTTCAAAAGAATTTTTAACAAGAAGGTAACATATCATTTTGTTACTGGTGAACGAAAAACACAAATGCATCTTTGTCCTCGTTACAAACGTGTGGTTAGTTTCAAATTTAATTAGTCAGAGATTTGGATCTGTGTATTCTTGAATTTTAACCAAATGTTAGAATTCTGGTTAATGAAGCTTTAGTTAGAGCTTTCAAGTCATTTATCTATACCGCACCTTGTCCTACATCGCAGTCCGCTAGTAATTTTTATGACTCGTCATTGACATCGCACTCATGTAAGTGATCTATGTTTCAATGCATGTTATTTTGGTCTCAATAGAGATTTGGCTATTTCTCATCGCCACGGTTCTCATCGTCACCTTCGTGGCGAATTTTATTTCTAACTTATTTCATTTTTTTGTAAACAAAAATTGTAGCGCTTGATGTGAAGATTGTATTCTCAGTAAATCAGTCAAATAGTGAGTCTCGTTTGGAAGCTTTAACGTTTTGAATTTTTTGATGCCACGAAAGTGATTCTGTACTTCACAGCAATATTTTTTTTAAACTTTACTACTGTAAATGACTCTAAAGTGTTTATAAAACATATATTTTGTCTTATTTTCATAGATAAATAGCAATAACATAATATAAATAGGTACCTACTTAAATACAAGATAAAATTTTACCGATTACGTCACCTACTAAGTTACAAGATTCTACGCAATTGGTTTTAAGGGTGACACTGGTGGCATTCTGAATTGCTAAAGAAGCAAAAAAAGGATTATCAGTACCTCAATAAAAAGAACTCTAACTGATTATCAGTCCCTCAACGAAAATATATTTTTATTAAGGCCAGAGGGCCTCGTATTTTTGTTGTACAACTTTTAACTCAAACTTCAGATTAAATTTATCTTACAAACAGATACACACACAGTCACATAAAGAGACATACATACAGTCACACAGACAGACAGACAACAAAAATACGAGGCCCTTATTTATTTATTGATGTACTGATCTCTACTTACCACGTATAATTTATTAGTTATTAAAATTCCCGTGGGAATTCCTAAGTATCCTATAACCTGCCCAGGAGTATGAATAATAATTGTACCAAGTTTCGTTAAAATCCGTCGAGTAGTTTTTGTTTCTATAAGGAACATACAGACAGACAGACAGATAGACAGACAGACAGACAGACAGACAAAAATTTTACTGATTGCATTTTTGGCATCAGTATCGATCACTAATCACCCCCTGATAGTTATTTTGAAAATATATTTCATGTACAGAATTGACCTCTCTACAGATTTATTATAAGTATAGAAGATGTAGCTAAATAGATATTTTATCATCTGATTTCAAAGTTATTGTTCTAACTTAAACCGTTTATGAAGTATTATTGTGTGACCATCAAATTTGAGTGTAAATGAGAAGTACCCATTTATTTAATTGTGTTTGCCACAAATCAAATCTTACGTATACCCCTTCTAAGACTTTTTCGTTCGTCGGTTGCAGTTGTGGTGAAAACAGGGATTGCATAATCACAGGTTTGTTAACAGGCAACCTTCATACATTTTGTATGATTGTTGTCTTTCATTATGTTTCACTTTAAAGTGGAAAATTAATAATAAAAAGAAATTCAGTTGGTATAAAGCTTTGTTTGTTGTAATAACGGTCGGTAAATATACCTTTCTATATTTAATTGACTCATTTGTTTCAATCAATCGTCAATAAATGTGTTACGTAACTAAAGTAATAATTTCTTCTTAAGTGTCCATAAAATTGTTGGTTGTTATGTTACCACTACTGCCTTACTTAATTTTTGAAGCATTTGAAGTACAACCATAGACAAAATTCAAAATATGAGGTATAATAAAATGAAAAAACTTAAGCTTATGCATTAGATAAAGTTTATTGCATTTATTTATTACTCAAATCTACAAATTGATAGTAAGAATACACAACAACAACATTCATTACAACATTTTGTGTATTTTTCCTACTGCCAGCTAATTGAGTGCAGAGAAGCAGTTTTCTAATACTTAGTAGTGCATTTTCTCTCTTCTTACTTCATCTCTTATGTCTATTTTTGTTAATCCCTCGCATCGTAAATGTGGCTTGCCAGAGAGAAATATGAATATGTCGTTTTTAACGCCTGCAATAGAAATAAGTATTAAGAGACACAGTAAAATATTAGCTCTGAATAAATCAGAAATGAATTGAACCTGACAATTTTACTAAAATTGTCACTGACGAAAATTAAATATCTATTTACGGTAAGTATCTCATCAACATCATTGCCAGCCATATGTCGTCCACTGCTGAACTTAGGCCAATCCCAATGATTTCCATAGTGACCAGTTGGTATTTATGTACATACGGGCCTACATGTAGCATCCTGCTGCCTTTATAAGGTCGTTGGTCTACCTAGTTATACATCCGTCAGCTCCCTCTGCTCTAGACTAAACAAGATAAGTCATCACTTTCCACTCTACAGTGTAAGCATTCGTAGAATTGTTATTCACATAAGAGATGTGTCAGCAGAACTAAATTGTAAACACCGTACTGGACGACTGCGATCGGCCACAATATTAAATCATTATTAAATCGCCTCCAACTCGGCGAGGACGTGATCACTTAGTTTAATTAAATATAATCCTTTTTAAAAAGCTTCCACCCCGCTCCCGAAATCTGACTACCTTGTGTACTTTATACGTATCTACATCTACTCGTATTTTAATTATTATACAGAAGTACTTTTACTATACTAAGATTCTCAATGGCTAGACTTAATGGTCTGGGCTAGAACGATAATAATATTATTTTTTTCAAATATTCTTTGAAGTCCGAGAAAGGTTTACATACATATAACATACATACAGATAAATTGGAATCGTTTCCCGGAAACACTTTTTGGGAAAAACTAAATGTTTATTTTTCATTGCGATATTTTTTTCAAAGGGCTTCTCTAGTCTAGAAAAAATATGTTACTTATTTTGCTACATTATAAAAATAAATGATTTTTGGTAGTCCTTTCATAGCAGTTTGGACCTACTTTCATGTACATACCTTGTTAAACGTTTTCATGCTGATTGAAGAATAGGGGAGACTGGGTACGGTTGAAACAATTTTGCTTTTATTGCCTATAATTTTGTTGTTTAATAACCTAGTAACGATTACGATACGTGAAATTGAAATTTGAAGTTTTGGCTATGATATGGCTGTATCATTATAGTTCCCGGGTTACTATTTTTAGAAATATACGAAATTTAAAAAAAAAGAAATTTTGTTTCAACCGTCCCCATGCCAGGGGCGGTTGAAACAGCGATTGGGGTCTGTTGAAATACATACAAATAATAGAATAATTACTAATAAAACGTGTTTTATTTATCATTAACACTACGAATATTAAAATTATGGTAGCACATGATAACATTAATCAGTCTAAGTATTTAATATTTCTAAAACAATAATTAGCCTTTGATAAGTAGTAAACATTTAAAAAAATAACAGAAATATGGTAAAATAAATGATATTTCCAAATCTAATAAACATTAATAATAAAATAATATTAACATTCTGAAGAAAGTTAACGAAAATCTTTTTTTTTTTTTCAAACCATAGCTTTCCGCAGTGAATCTCCAGCTTTTACCTCCTCTAATGCTTTACCAAGTCAATTTCCTCCCTGGAAATCTTCCTTACCCAAACTCTCGGCATCTACAAAAAATAAACATTAATACATTTTCTGTTTCAACCGTACCCAAAAAAAATGTTTCAACCGTCCCCAACCCCACTTTTGGTAAAATATTCTTTATAGTTTCGACACTAATAATCACAAATTAAAAATAGTTACTGTCCCTTATTCTAAAAGCTTCATTATAATCGCAAACGCACACTCGATACATTCACATAAAAAGAACAGGTAGTATAAGCGTTAATGTCTAAAGAAAAATACTTACTTTGGGTAGTAAAAAACAAAATGGTGTTTTATACACAACGTAAACGCATTAAGAAGTTATTAGGCACTAAATTCGTGTTCGGACCTGTCTTCCGCTTCTTTTTCCCCTAGGACCCCTTACTCCCCGTGGAACCGTTTACGAGATATTTGCTCTGTTTCAACCGTCCTTTGTTTCAACCGTACCCAGTCTCCCCTAATTTAGCGACAGTAAAGTACACGGCTTTTGCGATCTGAAAAGGTTAAACAATTTTCGTGAATGTTGAAAAAATATTTCTTCAGACGAAAACGTGGGTGTATAACATTATGGCATCGTAAGAGACTGTTTATTTAGATATATGTTTTTAATTTTTTTGAAAAATCCATTTTAAGCGCCCTTTGTTGTATTTCAAAGTAGGTACATGTCAATTAAGAGTTTTATTGCGCCTTAGATAATTTTCGTTATTTCTTAATTGCTTCAACACGTCGTATCAACAAGATATCAGATTTTTAATATCTGGTCTCAAATAATACCTCATGATAATAATGCAAATAATCTTCTGATATCGCAAGTCCCCGTCGTACCACATGTTCTTGGCAGCGGACAACGCTATACCCGTGCTCTGGAATAATAAATGGAGGGTAAAATAACATCGTGGATATCATAAGTTGAAAAAATAGAAGCAAATAACGTAAATGCGCCTATTACCGCCAGTTTAAGCTGACTTCGGATAAACGTTAGAAAATTAGATATAAGACGTGGTGATAGAAAAGACACTTTAATTTATTTATAACAATGATGAAGTAATCTTTGAATTCAAGTAGTAACAATGAGTATTCAATCACACAATAATTAATAAATAGCAATTTAATCTGAATAAGCAGTTGTTTCTATTACCGACCTATAGACGAGGTGTGTTTCTATTAACGTTTTTTCTGTTTCTATTACCGACCGCTAAGAATATTGCTCTTCAATTGGGTATATTCCAAGAGGCACGGGTTCGATTCCCGCTCATAGGCTCGGGAACCACTTGATTTTTTCAAGTTAAATTTGTTTTGCTTTTAGTTTTAGTTAAATTTGTTTTTTTTTTTCAAGTTATTTTTTTTTATTGTTAAAAGAGAAAAGGCACGCTTCTCGAAAATAAATAAATAATCAAGCAGAAATAGTAGAATAATAAATTCCTCAATTATACTTGATTACGCGATACCAGGTCTTCTAGTGAGTAGTGGGGGTCATTATTTAAACTATGTATATTTGAGTTTTTAATAAAAAATAATTTGCATTTAATATTTTATTTTTAATTTGACTTTCGTTTTTGACTGATGTTTTTGATTTTAATTGTGTGTAATTGTGTATTTTAATTTAAACTATGGACAATTGGACAATGTCTATATAATTATTTTAATTTTTTTTTATTAATCCAAAAGATCTTAAAAAGTTACATAGTAGTTGTGATAACGCATGATTGGTTAGGTGTCATGTCATAAATGTTAGTTATATACAAAATACAGGCTTATAAGTCTTCGCAGGTGGCGTTATAATTATGAGGCGGTAATAGAATTAAGTATGAATATTACTTTATTCTATTACCGACCGTAAAAAAAAACAGTAACCAGCTAAAATATCTACTTTAACGAAGACGTGATCAGTGAAGTATCATTTCTATTAGGTTTTATTTTATATCAAATAAGTACTAATTAGAATTTAACAGGTTTTTATAAAATCTATTGTCATACATTATTAGAGATATTCTTTAATGTTCATTGCAGTTTTATGCCAAACCTATGACAATTAATGTATGGCGTTAATTGATTTAATTATGTGAAATATTCTTATGAATCGATCAAGACAACAAAGTGGAGGTTAAATGCGTAATTAAAGATATAAATACTAAAATAAGAAACTTAATCAAAATTCTAACAACGCCATGGGTCGGTATTAGAAACCAAATTATGAAAAGTGTTTCTATTACCGCCCTTATTTAAAATTGTATTTAAGCCACATAAATACAGCGAGAGGGCTATATTGAGGGTTTATTAAAGAAACTAAAGTACGAATTAATATTGTTATGCAAAAACATGTTGGTATACTCATTTTAAATGTGTTAAAATCGCTAATTAATAACAAGGTGCACCTTAAGTAGCTGGGAGCGCGTCAGTATGAAAAGTGCGTCCGTTGCGGGCGCGTCCCATTTAATGTGAAATAACTCCGTTTACTGGTTATTTACGAACACAAACTTTAATCGTTTTGATAGTCAATAAACATATCTAGATATTTTTTAAGTAACGTGTTTTCTGGAACCTGTTATTATGTCTTTTATGAAAGAAAGAAAAATAGGGCGGTAATAGGATACAAATTTTGGGGGGTCGTTAATAGGCGCACTTACGTTATTATGCTTTAGAATGATAAGCATGGATTAGTTGATATAGTATTATGGTTTCACCACAATAGTCCAGTGGTCGGCTGATATCGAACAATGTGTTCTTCGGATTTCAAATCGGCAATCTATCGTTTGGCTATTGATGACTCAAATGAATGTATGACGGTGATAGGATAATGATGATGATACAAAACGGTATACGGTATGATGGTATACGGATCTGAGACGTGGTCACTTACTATGGGCCTCATAAAAAGCCTAAAGGCCACCCAAAGGGCGATGGAGCGTGCTATGCTCGGAGTTTCCCTGTGTGATCGAATGAGAAATGAGGAGATCCGTAGGAGAACCAGAGTGACTGACATAGCCCGCAGAATCGCTAAAATCAATTGGCAGTGGGCGGGGCACATAGCTCATAGAGCTGATGGCCGCTGGGGCAGGAAAGTTCTTGAGTGCCTACCGGAAGACTTAGCGTGGGCAGGCCTCCCACTAGGTGGACCGACGATCTGGTGAAGTTCGCGGGAGGTGCCTGGATGCGAGTGGCGCAGGACCGGTCTTTGTGGAAGTCCTTGGGGGAGGCCTTTGTCCAGCAGTGGACGTCTTTCGGCTGAAACGAGAATGATACAAAAAGCTACTTACAGATATACTCAGTATTTCACTGCAGTAGCAAACAATGAGTATGTTCGCCATGTACACAACTAGAGCAGCTCCATTGGTTAACTTATACGCTGTATCTGTGGTGGTCTGAAAATAATTTACCATTATTCTTTAAAATATGTATCGTCCGATTAAACTTAACATGTGCTGTCAGTCAACCGCCCGAAGCAGTCACAACTGCTTGAGCGGTTCCGAGTATAAGTTTGCGTACGTAGAATACTGTAGTTTGGTATACAGTCGCAGCTTGAAGCTGTCGATATTAGCGGCTTCAAGCTGTCCATACAATATGGCGGGCTTTACCTTCACAGCAACCGCAAAGAAACAAACGACGACTGTAGCGATCACCAAGTTTACAAATACCATTTTGTTGAACGCATCGTTCAGTTGCCGCGTCAACCTTAAACAAAGACGAATTTTAAACAAACATTTTATAATTTGTTACCTACGTAGTAATGAACTCTAAAATACCATTAACCTCATCAAATCTGGAGACACGGGAGTGCCTACCAAGTCCAGCAGAAAGGCACCGTGTGTCACCTTTTCTCGAAGCAAATCTAATGTGTTCCGGCAGTTAGAGGTAAGATAGCCAGTTCCTCCGTGGTTGAGGATTCCGGGTGAAGCTCGCTTCCACCTTCAGCCTGATCGTCACTTACCATCAGGTGAGATATAGGCCAAGAGCTTCCTCATTGTGGATAAAAAAATACCAACTTACAATAAAATATCCTGATGGCGTCTGACAAAATCTTCGATTGTGTACTCCTTGCCTTCATGATACTCAGATATTTCCGTGTCATAATACTCGTAATATTTGGTCTTTTTATTGTTCGTTGGCTTAATATTAATCAAGTCATCTTGCAGGAGTTGAAACTGTATGCTGATGTAAATGCTCAAACTGATCAGAAGAAAATTTGCGCCCAAGTATAGGTAAACCATTTGTAATACTGAAAAGAGAACTTGCTTTTTAACAAGGTACGAGTATGTGACGTCATTAATGAAAACTCAAAGAAAATGCCCATTTATTGTATTAACTTCTCGTGCAATAATTATGAAGGTGTTACATTGCCGATGACATCTACGTTCGTTCGTATCAGCCAAATGTGATCCACTGCTGGACAAAGGCCTCTCCCAAGTATTTCCACTACTGGTCCGCATGCAGGTATTTCGCATGACTTTCACCAAATCGTCGGTCCGTCTTGTCACTAGTATGAGTACTAAGACCTAGTGGGAGGCCTGCCGATACTACTCTCCTAACAGTTTTAACTTACCACCAAATATTTGTAATGCATAAACTGCGAAATAAACCGGCCAGTTGTCAATAGCAAACGGATACTCGCAAGGGAACGGCAGAACCATTTCTATTTCGTTGCCCCAAAAGATGTGCTTGAACAGCATCGAGATGAACGGGTATAGAAGGTACTGCCATGCTACTGTCATGCAGGACTTGTTGTATACTAAAAACAAAAGATATTTGAAAAAAGCACACTAGACAAATTATATTAGTAGTTTTGTAAAAAGGTGATCATACTCGTAAAAGGGTAAGATGAAGAATTTAAGTAGAGTAAGGAAATAGGTAGCACATAAAACGGGTAATGTAAAAAATGGACTCATAAAGAGACTGAACGGCTCGGCTGAGAAGTTTTAACATCATTTACATTTGCTACATTTATCAAAATTAACTACTAGGGCCATATAAAGTTCGATATAATTGCTTCGGATTATTAAATCAATCAACTATAGTTATAAATTTAATAACATTACTGTATATTCCGTATTTAAGGAATTTGAGCGAGGTATTCTTTATTATTATTTGTTCTTTTGTCAGATCGGTCATCCTCCAAACCGCACCCAGATGTTCGATGACCAGTCTTACGGCCTCCTTGTTTTTGGTAAATAATATATCTTTAAAGATAACTGCAAGAAAAAAGGATTTTTTTTAATATAGTGTTTTTTACCAACACACGACTTATTTCAAAAATTAAAAAAGAAGGCAAGATACACTTTCAGGCATATTGTCAGATTTTGCATCTGGCCTTTCGTGTTTCACGTGGTCTAAATAAATCCAGTATTGATCATGGCTTTCCCAAATAGGCCTTAATTCGACTGTTCCACAGCTATTCTATTCAAGTCGCTACCAGCTAGAAGGCGTTCCAAACTGCTAGGAATTTTTACTCCAACGGAGTTCTATTACAGTAGACGTGATCAGTCTATTGCCAGATCAGCTTATTTATTCTGTGCTTCATCTTGCTGATCCTTTAGGATCCTCTAGGGATTACACAAGTTATTCGAGGTTGAAACGCTTACTACTGATTCACAGAAATCCCGTGCATTCCCTGTTTTAAACACATGTAAACAAGAAATACAAACCTTGGTTTGATACAAGCCACAAAGCGATCATATCCGGCTTCGCAAACGGGTCTAAGCCTTCAGTAACAAGTTTTACCATGTACATTGTCATGGTATAGTAGAAGAATGCAAAAGGTGGTAGTAATACAAAGAAATGCCAATACTTATCCCAAAAACTGGATTTGGAATCGAAAAATGTTATGTTGACACGTTTATAGTACGCCAAAGATAGTTTTAAAAAATTTGCAAATTCTTCGGGGTACGCTTCTAAGCCCTCCATTGAAAATATTGTTAAACCATCTAAAACAGTCAAAATAGAAAAACTTGAACAAACAATGGATTCGGCTCTTCAATCAAGAATGATCCAGTATTTTCAAACTGTATGTAATAGAGCCATTTGGAATTTCCAAAGAATTTTTAACAATATGATAACGTATCATTTTGTTACCGGCGAAAGAAAATCATAGATGCATCTTTCAAAAAAATTAACAAAACATCAAAAAAGTGTGATCTATAAAATGTAATCTATCACTGATTTGGACCAGTTTTTGAATTTGATTCGAGTTTTTGAGCGAGCCAAATTGCCGTATTATACAATGGCATCAAAATATGCAAAATGAGCTGTTGAAAATAATGTGGTAAATGAAGCTCTAAATCTAAAGAGATAGCTTTTGTCACTTCTATAAGCGCACTTTGCAGTTTCTATAGCAGTCCTCTGCTAAACATAGGCGGACTTTTATGACTCGTCATTGGCTATTATATTCACTGATCTACATCTCAATGCATGTTATTTTGGTTTCAATGAAGATTATTTTATTGTGTTTGTCCACAAATAAAATATTCGTTTGAATAGCCCCTTCTAAGATTTTATCGTTTGACGATTGTAGTTTTGTACTCGTAGTTGTGGTGAAAACGGTGATTGCATAATCACAGGTTTGTTAACGAGCAACCTTCATACATTTTACAGGACTGTTGTCTTTCATTATATTACACTTTAAAGTGGAAAATTGTAGAAGTGAGAAATTAGTAATAAAAGAAATTCAGTTGGTATAAATCTTTGTTTGTTGTATAAACAAATTTTAGTTATATAAGGTTTCCAGAGTAAAAAACACCCTACTTTATTGAATTGATTAATTTTTTTTTCATTCAGTCATCAATAAATGTATTAAGTAACTTTTAGGACAAGGATTAAATTATTCTTATACGTCTCTAAAATTGTTGATTTCACATCGGTAAATTTTTTTGCGGCTTGCCAATGGATTTTTTTCTCCTATTATTATATTATTATTCAGCTATCATAATAATTCAGGTTTTACAGATTAGATTCCTAGAATATTCTAAAGACGCTTTCCATCTGACCGGTAGGACTTACGCGAACGCAGTATCGTTTATTTATGTCCGGGCGTAGCTGTCGAGTGCACTTCGCTCCTTCAAGCTATTAAGCTTGCAAGGGAAATGTTGCAAGGATTATTTAAACCAAATATCTTTAAGCTGTTATCGACTTTTGTGCCAATATTGGCGCAAGTATTTAATTGTTTTTGGTTAATATTCACGAACATCTTTTTGGTGGCAACCAGTTTAGATTATTATCAAAACCAAATAGTGGGTTGAGTAGCTTACTGTTTTGGAACGTGGAACGAATTTAGTCAGAAGAATATAAGGAGAAGTTTGAAATATAACATGTACTGAAGGGAGACCGATGACTGTATATGTACTAAATCATTCTAAGAATGCGATACCTAATCACGAGTAAAGTGCAGTACAGTACAGTACGGACTTTTAAGAGACTTACGACGTGAGTGGTTAACATCCAGTAATTTGCGTGGAAAAATCGCCGCCTTGCGCAAAAGGTTCCATATTTTCTGAATTGAACCAAGCATAACATTACTTTCCTGATTTCAGAGAGTACATTAAGAAATATATGTAGTGTCATCTTAGAAAATTTCTAAGATGTTTTCCATCTGACCACTCTGGACTTACATAAACGCAGCCGTTTATTTACGTCCGCTTCAGCTGTCAAGCGCACCTCTGCCACGATGAGGGTCCCGGCTTCCTATTACTTGTACAGCACATCATACTTTAGTTAGTTACAACATTTTAGTTGCAAAATAGCACTTATTGGAACTGCATAAGGTTATAGAGTTTGGCTTGATGTGATGTTTGTATATGAGAAATGTTGCAACGAAGTATTAACTCCTCATTTTTTATTTGAATGGTCTTGCCGACATTGAAGGAGAACATTGGAGGAATGATGTTTGTGTTAATATTTAAGCATTATTTGTTTATTCTGGTTAACTGCAAATGTTGTATATGTATATGAGGCAAATGACAGTTATATTGCCATCAAGTAATGTGCATTGAGGAATGAACCTGGTTATAAACAAAAGGAGAAGAAAAAGAACGGGAGGAAAGGTTATAAGCTATCAAGAATTGTAGTCAAAAGGAATCGAACGAATGTCGCGTTGACAAAATCATAATAAAATTATAATAAAAATAAACTTTTTTAAAAACAAGCTTTTATTCTGAATTTCGAAAGTTTGTATCGCGCATGGAATTTATTCCTCTTTTTCTCTGTTTGCGCTACAAGCTTTCGAAATTCAGAATAAAAGCTTGTTTTTAAAAAAGTTTATTTTTATTATAATTTTATTTTACACTTTTTAGTTATATCTTAATCTCAGGACCCTGGACGTTATCTAACACTAAAGTGCTCGAAAAGACAAATCCAACGAACCCAAACTCGATGAGTTTCCGCCGTTTTGTTTAGGAGTTCCTATGGCCACCTCCCGACTCCATCATCAGACCAGCTCAATGGTACCATAATATTGCATTGTCATCGGACTTACACATGTATGCAAAATTTCAGCTCAATAGGAAACCGGGAAGTGGGTCAATTTTAAGTTGCAAGATTTGACGACAGACACCAGACATGTGAAAGTAATAAAAAGCTTGTAAAAATAAAATCAATTTATGCTCAACTCACACTTTGAGTGCGAATGCGATTTTGTTCTCCAGTCGACAAAGCAAAGGCTTTTTGTTGACAAGAAGAAGAAGAATTTATTGCTGATGTAAAGATGTTAACAATGATAGTTTATTTATACGAAATATATTGTCACCATAAGTCAATGCTGGTAACATCATCATTACACGTCGCTTTTCTAAGGTTGGGTTGCAACATCTTACTTTAGCTTTGACAAACGTCAAAAATCTGCCAAATTCCATACAAAAATCACCGGTTATCGTCATAGTTACCGTTAAAGTTAGGTGGTGCAACTGAGCCTAAGGTTATTATTAATTTTGACAAGCAAGTGCTGTGAACTATACAGAGAGATACGTAAATACGGTCGATTAATAACTTCGGGCAATATTATGAATAAAGTACTACTAATAAAAAAGTAAAAGTATTAAGATTTGGACAATGAATATTCTCCTCGTCTTTATACCATTAAGACTTGCGGTCTTATTCATAATCATTTTTCACATTTTATCAAATGCTTAATAGAGGTTTATAAAACGTTTGATAAAAATTGTTATTCATAATCGTCATTTAGCGCTAAAATCCTCTTTTATCTGTGTGATAAGTTATCGAGAGCTCGGGCCTTGTTTAAAGCTCTAATAAACCTATTTTAACCTAACTTTTATAAATGTCATTTCATATGAATGTCACTTCGTTGGTTTATTTATTCAAAATATCCTTGCTGTGATCCTTGCTTGTGAAAATGAATGCTATAAATGCAATTGTGCATTTAGCCAATAATGCCGACCCAGCGCGACGTAGAAAGCTCTACCGCCAACGAAGCAACCCATTCGATTTGCGGGACCTAAATTTTAAAATAAAATATAGGTTCAATAAGGACACAGTGCGCACCATCATAGATTTGGTGGAAGATGATCTGGTTCAGAGCGCTAGAGGTGGTGGCACGTGTCCTGAACTGCAAGTTTTAGTGGCCATAAGATGTTGGGGACGTCGTGAGGTAAGCACAAAAAAGTGTTTTATTTTATCCCTTTGTCGTGGCTGCTATAATTATTTTCATACATTTTCAGGTACAAGATGATGCTGGTGACCTCCATGGCCTAAGTCAGCCGACAGTGAGCAATATTACTAGGCATGCAGATAATTCGTGTTAAGTTGTTACCTACCCGCTACATATTTTAGCAGGCAGTCGAAAGGGCTGTTCCATACTGGTAAAAGTACATATCACATTAAAAAAAAAATGCAATAATGCATACCTACTTGTTTAAAAATTGGGAGTTGTCTTAATAAGACATAATTTGATGGGTTTATATCCACACTACCGGGTGGTGATATGATACACGCCAAATCGTTAGCAGGTGAAAAACCATTAGTGGCTATCGAAACATTGGACTCAGAACCCTTAGCCTCGAACCCTGCCGCCGCCGACGCTGCTGCTTTCGTTGACATCTGCGCCGCTTCCGCTGCTGCTGAAACTAGAAATCAATTAGATTCCACACCTGCAACGCTGTTGGTCTGAAACAGCTGCGCCCCTTCATGATGAGATTGTAATATTGGTGATGATCCTGTGTAGGACAAGCCTCAACACAATTACCTTAATATGAATTTCTTATCGATGCCAATCGCATTTTCTCGACTGTCTACTAAGAATTCCTTATCAGAAAAAACGTAATTCTACTTAGACTCATTAAAGATAAGATCAATTATTACCTACTTTGGGGCCAGCTGGCGCTGTGTGAAATTGTTAAAAGACTCATCTATTTATTTATTTATTACAAACACCGAAGATTGACGCCATGTCTTTTGATAAAAACTTTCCAAAACACGAAAAACTGCCTAGCGAACTTCAAAGTTTGGGGCTGATCTGGAATTGAATCCCAAAATCAAATCAGCAGCCACCAAAAAGTCCTTTCTTATACGATTTTAACCTTGAAGGGACTTCCCCGAAAGGCAGACAACCGATGAAAACAGAGGACTTGACCTCCTGACTTTCAAAACAGTCATCACGTGTCATGCGCGTGAGCGCACCAGCCGCATCCAGCTCAGAATCGCAACAGTTGAATCTCGTAAAATATGTCGGTTGGCTTTTAAATTTTTACCATCAGTGGTCACTATAAGTGACTCTGTTGTACTAGGATAGAGTTATGGTCC